AAAATCATATTACTAACTATTCTATTTTTAATTCTTAAGTTATTATATGAAGTTTATACTCAAAATGTGTAGAATTTCAAAAGGCTATAGGATGAGAACTAAAACATGTATATAAGACGGTATTCTATGTTGATTAGTTAGTAGCTTTATAAACGCCAAAACTGGAATTTTATGCAAATAAGGGCCGATGAGGGCCGCCCGCGAGCCGCCCTCTAAGGGCGGAGGGTCGGGCGAGGGCAGGCAAGGATCCGCCCTCCGCCCGCGAGGGCCGGGCGGAGGGCGGGATATGCCCGCCCTCTAAATGTTTTTGCCGAGGTCTAACTAGAATTATCGGGAGCTACTTCTTAGATTTAAGCCTCTTTATAGAATATACTTAGGTATTAACCTTAGCGCTATTCTGTTCTAGCTACTATAGAAGTATAATTTAACCGATCGAGTACTTATATTTACTACCGATAATATATCGAACAATAACACTTTATTAGCGAGTATCTAAGAGACTATCTAGTCCCTTAACCTTAGCGATAATATAGAGATTATTCGCGTTCTATGTATTACCTATATTATTTAACTAAGCTTGAAGCAACTCCTAGGTCAGATAAAGGTAAATCTAATAAACGACACTGCTTAAATATAATAGACTAAATCCTAGGACTAATTAATTCGGTCTAGGCATTAGAAACGGGAGGTTATTAACACTTTAGATAAGGTTCGTCACTATTAGACTTATTAAAACTTACTTCTAATCTATTTTTATAGCTTCGAAGCTTAGCTATCTTTATTAACGTAAGCCTATAGCGCCGTGAAGCTTTCTGCCGCCTCTAGACAGATTCTATAGCTCTTGTTCCGATATAGGATATTCGTACGCGGTAGAATTCGACATTTCTAATGCTTCGCCGTGCTAAACGATTATAATCCGTCTTAGATAAGTTTTGCTCGAAGTACGGCTATCCGTATCTTAAGCTTAACTAGGAGTAATAGCGTTAGATTAACTATTTACTTTAGATTACGCGGCCGTTCTTCTAGTTCACTACTACGCTATCGAAAACTAAAGATATTACTGTCTATCTTATCTTTGCTATCTATAATAAGCTCTTCGATTATCTTAAGAAGTCGATTAAGTAGCTTATAAGTAAGAAGGTAGGCTGGAAGAAGCTTATGCTTACCGCTCTTCGTGCGGCGGAGGAAAAGCTTAGGTAGTACTATAGTAAGACGGATAAAATTCCTAGTGATATCTTTGCTATTAGTATAATGCTCGCACTATAATATAAGCTTTAGTTCTTCCGGAGTAAAGATTAGGGCCCTAAGTAGCTTACTAGATATCGACAAAGCTTTATGGACTACTTTGAACTATATAAGTAACGTCTATTAGAAGAATAGATAGGGAACGGTGAAAGATCTACTACGTAGAGTATAGGTATAGATCTTAATCGGATAATTAGCCTAGATTAGATTATCTAAGCTAGCTAGTAGGACGAGCTTATAAGATATCTCGATGGTAGTAAGTATCCTTATTCTATTAATTACCGGACCTATACTAATAAATAAATCTTAGCTACCGTTTCTAGTATTCTAATACGGGCGTTCTAGAAGGAGAACTAGACCATATTCCCTACGCTTATAAAGCTCGTACACGATATACTCTCGATTCCTGTAACTAGCGCCGGCGTTAAGCGGCTATTTAACACTACTCGGGATGTCTATCACTATCGTCGAGGCTCACTAAATGCTATAATAATTTAGGAGCTTATATTATATAGGTGTACGACGCAATTTAAAGTCGAAGAGGATAGAATTGCTTTTCGGAAGGAGTATCTTTCTAAAGGGGAGATAGAAGCGGATTATAAAGAGAAAGATACCTAATAACTCGAGGATACTATCGACCCGATTAGTGATAATAAGGAGAGTGATAAGGACGATGTATAGGAGGGTTTAGTCCTTATTTAAGCGTAATTAGTAACGTAAGGTCCCTCGAAACGTACTCTTGGAAAGAGAAGAAAGAGTGTTATATCTAAACGAGACACTGAAGGCTATAGAGATAGTAACGAGGAGGAAGATGTTCCTCTACCGGAGACACAACAGCGTATCTCAGGAAGATCTAGGAAGCGTTCGCGGCATAATGATAATCAGTTTATAGTTTATTAGTTTAGTTCTAGAATTAAAGACATTCATAGTTATCCTCGACCTTATTTCTATAAGAATCCACTGCCTATAAGCTAGATACCTATAAATACAGCCCAGAAATGTATAATATATGCATATCACGAGGTTCTTTATGTTTGCATTGTTTATTAACCCGTGGGTAACCCCCGGGTAACCCGCGGATTCAATATCTCAACCCGTACCCGACCTTCGGGTCTATACCCTCGACCCAAAACCCGCCAAGAAACGGGTACGGGTCGGGTCCAACCCGTCTACCCGCGGGTTTGGGCGAGGTCTACTTGATGCTAGCCCAGCTAGTCTAAATATGCGCTCATCGACATCGTGTCGGATTTATGGAGTCGGCACAAATCGTCCAGCGTGCACGAAGCGTTCGTACACGGTCGGGGGTGGAGGGAGGCTTACGATCCGGCTCTAGATCGGAAGTCAACAGAAGAAGAATCAGAGCAGTTAAACTTGTTCTATCTAGCTATGGAAAACGGGCAGTATTTATAATTGCATGAAGACAGGGCAATACATCATGATGATATCAGAGAAGAATTGCATGGAAATCATCAGAAACATAGAGTGTTGAAGCTCTTTCCCACGATGGGATCATTCGGCATCAATCGTTGAGGATCATTGTCACGTGCTCTCCATTCGGTCGAATTCGATGGCTTTCGGGCACTTATGCATGCATTCATGCACATTCATGTCGACACATCGCATTTGTGAAGGGCTGTAGCAGAATTGATTCAATTGTACTAGGCCAACATGCAGTTTACAACAATCTTGAGAAAAGAAAGAAAAAGAGACAGGAGTCAGTCGCGGTCCTGAAGAAATGTTGGTCCCGTCTCAATGGAATCCTCTAGAACCTCGTGATAGAATCTCTCCGAACCTTCTGCCAAGACGATGTCCAAAACGGCCATGATACATGGTTTACCATCAGGCTCTGGCCCGTCACAGCTTTGGCCTATATTAGACCAAGCTCTCTTTGAATGGCAGCAAAGACACCAGGATGCCGGCTTTCCTATAACAGGCCCGTTACTTCGGCTTAAAGCTATCGAGTATTGGAAGAAAATACCTAAATATGCTGAACGCCCAGTGCCCCTTTTCTCTGATGGGTGGCTTACTCGGTTTAAGCAACGTTATTCCCTCCGTTATTATACCTTCCACAGTGAATCTGCATCGGCCGGGACCTCGATATACGACGAGATAAAACCTATTCAGGCGATCTACGATCAATTTCGACTGGAGGATATATATAATATAGATGAAACTGGGCTTTACTGGCGCCGTATGCCGAACGGTAGCCTATTAACAGATTACAGATGGTTATGCTGGTCAAAAGAGAGATAAGGCCCGGATTACTATAGTAGTTTCGACGAATGCTACTAGTTCGGACTGAATGCCTCTATAGCTAATTAGTACAGCAAAGACACCACGCGCTCTTCAGGGGGTAAATATCCGAGCAATTAGATGTACCTAGCGCCGGAATAAGAAAGCATAGATGCGTAGTAGTATTATAGGAGAATAGCTTCGCGCGTTTTATAAGCATATTAGCAAGCAACGACGCGTTCTGCTATTGCTAGATAATTTCAGCGCGTATCTATACGCGCTTAAATCTACGCCGCCCCCGTCTAATATCAAGGTGCTATTTTTCCCAGCAAATGCGACGTTAGTTTATCAGCCACTAGATCAAGGAACCATCCAGAATCTAAAGCACTATTATCGGAGGAAATAGATGATATAGATGATTAATATTCTTGACCGGAATCTTGATCCGAATAGAAAATAAGCCTCAATTATACCCTCCGCTGGCTTACCCGGGCCTAGCGAAATGACGTTCTTGATCAGACTATACAGAACTACTTTATTAAGAGCACTATCGTTAGTCGCAGCACTAATTAGACGCAAAGTATGCCAACACTAGAGCCGCTTGAATTAATACCTTTATACCAGAGCTTAATCAACCGGTTTCCTGCGGATATGGGTAGCGACACACCTACAGTTAGGTTATTAGATAACTTCCTAATCCATCAGACGAGAATGAATTCGGTAAGCCTGATGTATCTAATATAATCGCCGACTTGTCTAGTGAGGGTGGTAATGACGAGGACCAGGATGACGAATATATATCTAGACCTCCAATAGAGCTTCCATCTGGTGCCGAGGCTGTTATGATATTTCGATGAGACTATTCACACACTGATATTGGGGCCTCAGGCATGCGTGGACCGAGGGTTCTGCCAAGGCGGTAGCCATCCGGCGGTCAGTCGGTGGCCCCTCGGCCGCGATACGCGACAGCCACGCTGCATGCAGGCCGCACCCACAGTATGTGCCATGCGTTGGCCATGCGGTGGCCTTTCGCCATGGTTTCCCCCTTACTTCGTGTTTGATTCCTGTTTGCACAAAAGATGATGTATTTAAACAGATGCTTGAGGAAGTGGGATTCATCTTCCTCAAGAAACAGTCTTTGTCTCAATCTGACTTGGTGCTTTCCTCTCCTACCTAGTTGACAGGCCATCTACCCTGTAAAGTAGATACTTCCTTAACAGAGGCTATTAATAGCATTCAAAAAGCGCTTCTATGGGCTTAGCACCAAGAGGGCACTACTGAGGAGAATATACGTCAGATAGAGGGGTTGGAACGTCTATTCAACAGGCTACAGGTGGATAGTAGGAGACAGAGGACATTAGATGACTTCCTAATTAGGAATTAATGTATGTCGATCAATATATCTAAATTAGTCATCCGATCACAATAACGTAATCCACGGCCGATCTGGCCACACGGCCGTCCTGGCCACCCCATCCAAAATCGCGTCTTCCTACCACCCTACCTAATTCAAGCCCCTTACTATGCCACCAATTCGTGTTGAATCCTCGCATAACCCGGCCAATCAAGAGGGCAGGATCCTATTAGCCCTATCCGATATTAAAGATGGCCGCATCAAATCTATTCGCGCAGCAGCAAAGCTATACGATATACCGCGTTCTACCTTGCAGACGCGTGCCCATGGCCAAATCTCACGCGCTGATAAACGCCCATCAGGCCATAAAATTAACTCAATACGAAGAAGATTCGCTTACTGAGTGGATAATCTCTATGGATTCGCGTGGAGCAGCGCCTAGGCCGTCTACTGTTCGAGAGATGGCCAATATCCTTCTTGCAGCGCGTGGAACAACCCCTCCATTAACCGTTGGCGTTAATTGGGCATCAACGTTCGTTAATCGACGCGATAAGCTTCAATCACGCTATTCTAAACGATATGATTATCAGCGCGCTCTTAATGAGGATCCAAAGGTTATACGAGAGTGGTTTTTGACGGTACAACGCGTGGTTGATAAGAACGGTATCCAACCAGAGGATATTTATAACTTCGATGAGACTGGTTTCGCAATGGGCCTTATTTCTGCGCAGAAGGTTATTACTCGAAGAGATTTATACGGTCGGCGGCCTCTTTTACAGCCAGGAAATCGTGAATAGGTTACTGCGATCGAAACGATATGCGCTGATGGCTATTCACTACCGCCGTGTATCATATTCAAAGGCCAGGTCTATATCGCTGGTTGGTTTGAATCGTTAAATTTTCCTCCGAATTCGCGCATTGAGGTATCGAATAACGGCTGGACAACTGATGAAATTGGCCTACGCTGGCTCCAAAAGTTATTTATTCCACTTACGAACTCGCGCGTACGAGGGCGATTTCGGCTATTAATCCTTGACGGGAATGGTAGCCACCTAACACCTCAATTCGATCGAATCTGCGCTGAAAACGATATTATACCGCTCTGTATGCCTTCGCATTCGTCACATCTACTACAGCCGCTCGATGTTAGGTGTTTTGCTGTGCTTAAACGCGCGTACGGTCGCTTCGTGAGCGATTTAGCCCGGACTGGCTATAATCATATCGACAAGCTTGATTTTCTAGCAGATTATCCTCGTGCACGGCTAGAAGCTTTCCAGCCAAATATTATTCAGAGCAGCTTCGCAGCTACTGGTATCGTACCAGTTAATGCTGATAGAGTGCTTTCTAAGCTTAATATCTCTATCCGAACGCCTTCACCACTATCAAGCCGACCAAGCAGCAGATCTAGCCAATTCACACCAAAAACGCCTAAGACAGCGATTCAGCTAGAAAAGCAAGCTTCTATGCTTAAAGAGCTTCTAAAACAGCGATCGCATAGCCCGCCTACACCGTCAAAGCGCATGCTCGATCAAATTATCAAGGGTCATGCAAAAGCCCTACACCATACTGCGCTACTAGTAAAGGAGAACGCTGATCTACGCGCAGCGAATGAAAAGAAACGTCAAAAGCGCACTCGATCGACTAGGCAGATTGCTCACGAAGAGGGCCTATCATTCGAAGAGGGCCTACAGCTAGTTCAACAGCAGATTGAGCCTATGGAAGCTGATAGGGTAGTATCGCATGAACAGGTTGATCTGCCTCAGCAGCCAATTCAACCGGCTAGGAGGGCTCCTCCTACATGCAGTGGATGCGGAGTGACAGGGCATAAGATTAATCAATGTAAAAATCGCCTAGTTCAGAATGAATTAATGCGTTGTTGTTGATAAATTTTGTTTAGAAGGTTTATAATGGGGGTAGGTGGCCAGGACGGCCGTGTGGCCAGATCGGCCGTGGATTACGTTAAGCACAATTCACTTATGGCACGCAAATTCTGTTGGATGGTGGGGTGTACCATAAGCGGGAGTTGACTGTAATATTTGCCTAACTCCTTATCCTAAATAGGTATAGTTGTTAAGATATGAAGCTGTAACTTATCGCATTTAGTATGGTGTTTTGGGGTCTGCTTTAGTATTCAATAAGTGTCATTGTATCGAGGGTATCACCTTTACAGCGGTCTGTTCACTCGTTCTTAGAGGGCAAAGTCGGATAATTTCCATAAAGACCTACCTGTTACCACATAGGGCTATCTACTGATTATATTGCAGTACTTAAAAGAAAGGATTATGTCGGATTCTGATATGGTGGACGCCGACAAGTCAAGACGATGCACAGTCGAACTGTCGATTCTACCATAATCTCATCATGATACGTCCGCGAAGAAATCTATCTCAGCCACTCCATGCCCTTCTTGACATCGCCCCATCGCGCGATGGCTAGATCCCTCCAATAGTACGAACGCGGCTGCCACGGAACCGTAGACGCAGACTTGGGGAAAGCATTTCCCCCTTTTTTCACATAGGTCGCTGATAATGCCAAAAATGGACGTTCTTCTAATGCCTCCCTCTCCTCTGCCTTCATTCGCGGCACAATTACCGATAAGCCGTGTTTCCTCATCCGGGTCAGCAAGCGGCACGCTAACTGTGCCGTTGAGTCTGCTCCCAACGTCCAACTTGCGTTGGCGTATCCGATTGATAGCACCAAGTTAGGCAGACCTTCCAGCATGGCAGCCCTCCAAGCAAAGTGGTCCGGTATTTCATACGGCTCGTCGTCGATGGTAATGATGATACCACCTGCCATGCGTAGCTTAAGCCCAGTCGCTGTCACGATGATATCGGGATGGAGCTCCTTACCGGAGGCGAGCTTTATGCTGGACGTAGTAATCGTTTCAATTGAACCGGTATGAATGCTTGCTTTTCCACTCCGAATTGCGGCGTAAAAGTCCCCGTCAGGGCAAAGACACAAGCGTTGCTCCCATGGCTTGTACGAAGGCACGAAATCCGGCTCCAGGCTCATGCCTGGTGGCAGGAGTTTGCGTGTCTCTCGGAGGAGGAAAGATTTGGCTGCACGAGGGAAAAGACGGCACATCGACACCATGAATAATGAGAAAAGCATCCATTTAATGCGTATGACTCGATGGGCCGCAGAGCGGGGCAGAAGCCTTGAAACAATGGCTTCAAAAGCTCCCCGGGTGGGAAGGGACGCGACGTAGGTCGGTGAGCGCTGGAGCATGGTTACGTGCGCAGCACTTGTGGCGAGGGACGGAAGTAGCGTGATAGCGGTGGCGCCAGAGCCAATAATAACGACCCGCTTGTTGACGTAGTCGAGATCATCAGGCCAGAACTGGGGGTGAATAACCTTGCCTTGGAAATTGTGTATCCCAGGAATGTCCGCCCGTAGTGGTTCCTGATAGTCATAGTAGCCCGTGCCGAGGAAGACGAAGCGAGACTTCAAAGACACCATTTTCGTGTCGTTGACGGTGATGTCAAAGTCCCACATGTTAGACGAGGATGACCAATTCAACTTGTTCACCTTGTGGTGAAAGCGTATCCTCTTATCGATGCCCTCTTGGGCGGCTGAGTCTTCAAGGTACTGGCGAATGATAGAGCCATGAACGATAGTGTCGTTACCTGTCCAGGGGCGCCATGCAAAGCCAAAAGTATACAGGTCTGAATCTGATCTAATACCTGTGCGTTATTAAGTCAGAAAAGTCATTCAAATGTCAATAACTATTGGGGTGGCAAGACTCACCCGGGTACTGAAATAGGCTCCAAGTCCCTCCAATTTCGTGTCGGCTATCGAGAATACAGTAACTGAGCTCTGGGTTACGCTCTTGCATACGGTATGCAAAGTTAATGCCAGATATGCCTGCACCGATAATGATGACATCGAAATCTGGCATGCCTTTGTGCGCTGCCATAGTCAGTAGATGACTTGGGCGTTTTTGTGTAGACGCTTTGTTTTGTAGTTTGTGATCCTAGGTTTAGAGCTCTCAAGGCAAGATTATATAAGTTACCTCATGATTTATGCCCTTTCAATTGGTACCTCACACTTCCGACGGCAATTTGAAGCTGTGAATTCTCGGGTCCGCGCAGCCGCGGAACGGCGGACAAGGTTCAGTCAGTAGCGGAATTACCACAAGTATATCCTCTAATCCAAGTAAATTTGGGCTTATGTCCGAGTAGACTGACATACCTCTCCGTGGGCGGTTGGTCCTTCCATGAATTTATTTTTGCCCGCGGCTGACTTGTCGATCTTGGGCCTACTTGAACGTTCCAGCCCAAAATCCTGGCATCTTTCTAGTTAAGACTGACTTAAAGAATACATAATACGCTGCGAAAGTGAAGGCGCAGATTATTTGGAAGTCTCCGCAGGATTGACATACTGGCTATTCAGAACGTAACTAGGCCTGACAAAGTTCTTCATTTTCTTTATTGAACAAAAATAGCCGGCCCGTTCAATTTAATTTTAATGATAATATTATCAAGAAAATCCAATTATCACAAAAGTAAGATGCACTGAGTGCGAAGTCACGCGTTGCTGGCTCGTAGAGATACGTGGTTGGTTTGCGGGGCAAAGACAGTGGGTATACTCATTTATACACCTTATTGAATGCCAGCGGTTGAGTGGAAGGAAAACGGCATAGCTTAGTCATATTATAAGACTCGAACATCTGAAGCGAACGTTGATTGGTAAATATTGGATAAGAGGAATCAAGGTGGGCAGGGTGGACTCCGTCGAAAAACGCCCCTTCTCCAACCAATCTGAGCAAGTTCAGGAATAATTAACACAGAGTGACTGAAAGGAGGGACGTCTCAGGTCGACCTTGCATCGTTTACCTTCTCCCCTTGCCAACGACGACAAACTTTATTGCCTGTTATACGTCATTACCGCCGCGCAGTCCAGCCTGCGCTCGACCGGAGTGCTAAACGTCAGAGTGCTCACATGCTAATTACAGTCATAGCGCTGAAGTTGGTGTCACTTTGTACGAAGGCACGGTCACAACGTGGAACCGCCGCAAACAAAATCATTCCTGCGATTATTGTTGGACTGCCAAAAGGACATATAGCCTTCCGCAGGATTAATTTATCAATGGGCCAGAAGCCGACAACCCGATAAGGATGGGGATGTATATTCGTAGCACCACTATGCAAGCACAGTTCGGTGGATTTCGTGCTTCTGGCGGTCCGAGAATCAGCTGCTGTGGCGATACTTTTGCGGATATGTCCGGCACCCTTCACGTTAGGAGTCGAAACATTAAGTAAGGGAATACCGACTTCGAAACCGTCCATCCACTGCATACTGTTGTTGAAGGGTGGTGGAATTATGGACCTATCGTTTAGCATACTTGGCTGCACGACGGCATTCTGCGTTCAAATGTCCACGCCTAATATACGACGCCTGACTAGACTTTATTTGATTGATATTGATTTAGCCAATCTGGCTTTCTGTGCCTTTGAACAGAGGGTTGAGACTTACCTAGAAGGGCAGCCCTCGACCCGGTAAAAGGAAGTCCTCGCTAGCACCCTGCGCTCGATTAGGTCGTACCGAAAATCAACCACTTCTTGCTTCTCCATCCAGTGGCTACCTTTTCGAGTTAGCCCAAGGAATTCCAACCCCTTGATCTGAAGGAAAGGGTAATTCTCAAACTCATATTCATGATATTCCGCGTAGCCTGTAAGTGTCACTTACGATAAATACCAAATTCTCTATTGAAATGCGCATTGGAGTACCCGTGACTGTTCCTCTAAGCCCACATCTTCGTTCGCGTCCAAAGCTATTAATGATGACAATCAGGAGATGGTTATCAGGTAGGAGCTTGCGAGATGACTGGGATTGATTCCTCTCCACAGATGCTTCGTGGGCATCTAGGAACGCTTGCGAAGTCACCTGCTCTACTTTTATTCATGAGGATACAGCTTTAATGATCACTTTATCTGGGGTCAATTGCACTGAGCTGGTTTATGTAATGAATAAAGCTCACCGAGATAATTCTGAGGCCGGCGGAGAATTACCTAGGAAAACCACGTATGTATTCATATGGTATTCTGGTATGACATTTCAACCACATGTCGTAGTACTGAAACAATAGTACCAGGTTTCGCTCAATACGGTGAAGAAAAATATAGCTATAGGTTTGCGCTGACCAAGCTGGCAGCCGCGTGGCTTGCTTTGATCATATCACTTAGCTTGGCGGCCATTGCAGCAATAGGCGCGGTGGGATGTCCACTGATCTGTTCTGGGAACACACTGGCATCCATCACACGAAGACCCTTGACACCATAGACCCGGCAATCTGGGTCAACAACGCTTGTCGACGGCGATTGGCCCATGCGCGCCGAGCCAACTGGGTGATACAGAGTGAAAGCCTTTTCATCCATGAAACGGATGAGCTGCTCGTCGGTGATATTTTCGATGTTGCTGCTCGAGAACGGCCACCAGTACGAAGTCGGATCGTCGTTCACAGGGACAGGCTCGAAAAATTCCTTGAAAGCTGGACTGCGCATAATCTGGAGACAAACACGAATGCCGACTAAAAGGACATTCCGGTCGTTGTCACCGCGGTCACTTAAGTACTTCGGATCAACGATTGCTAGTGATGAATTAGCTTCCAGTTAAAATTCTCTATTCGGCGGTAGACAGGAACTCACGCGCATCAAAGATATCCCTGCTCTGAAGAGTAACCGTTCCGTGGCTCTGTGGACGCAGAGCAATCGGAACCAGGCTGAAGGCACTATTTCCATCAATCACTTTCTCTTCCCCATGATGGATAAATGCAATAGGTGCGCCTATAAGCTCCAGGTCTGGTCCAACACCGCCAGACGAATGATCATTAGGAGTTCTCACAGATTGAGGGAAGCTGTAATCAGTTGACCGTATAAACGCAGCCGCCTCGCCGATATTGCTTGCCAGCGGGCCGCCCCCAGTGAGCATCCACCGCGCTAGTGCAAAAATCGCTTTGTGATTGTTGTTCAAGTAATCGAGCGTAGTGCCAGGCTTTGCTTTGGCCAGGATAGGTGTTGTGCAGAGATGATCTTTGAGATTTTGACCGACCGCGTCGTTCACTTGGATGACCGGAATGCCATGATTCTTTAGCGTATCCGCTGGACCGATCCCGCTCAGTAATAGTGTCTGCGGCGTATTCACTGCTCCCCCACAGAGGATAACCTCCTGTCTAGCGTGAACTTGAAAATGCTTACCACCACGTTGAATTTGAAATTCGACGCCAATAGCCGTCGGCTCTGCGGTGGTGAGGCGATCAAATAGCACACGTGTGACACGAGCGTAGCATGCGACGTATAGGTTCTGTCGTTGCAGTACATCAGAGGATAGGAAGGCCGTAGCGAGGGACGAGCGCTGTCCTTTTGGGTCGATGAAGGTTTGAAATTTTGTCGAACCTAGAGTACCTTTCGGCGTATTGATATCCGCAACGACAGGAATTTTTGCATCTTGACAGGCTGAGAGGAAGCCCTTTTCCACAATCTCCGACAGCGACGAATAACCTATCTCCCATTTCCCAGAACTACCACGATTCTCAATACCGATTGCAGGACAAGCTGGATTAGGGGTAAACCGCTCTATACTTCGGAAGTAGGGTGCTAGATCATCATAGCTCCATCCTACACAGCCATTGGCTGATACCCATTCGTCAAAGTCTGATTTGGAGCAACGATGATATATCATGGCGTTCATCGAGCTTGATCCCCCGATGATCCGCCCCCGAGGCCAGTACAGTTTGCGGGATGCGAGCCCTGGCTGCTCAACCGTGTAGTAATCCCAGTCATGCCGTGAGTGAAAGAGCTTAGGAAACAGCAGTGGCACTTTTGTTTCAAGAACCTTGGTGTTGTCACCTCCTGCTTCGAGGAGCAATACCGACACATTTTCGTCCTCTGAGAGTTTGCTGGCGAGTACACAACCTGCCGCACCGGCACCAACGATGACTTTTTGTTAATGTATTAAGTTAGTGATATTCCCTGAGTCTTGTAGCTCTCACACATACCATAGTCATAGCTGGCAAGACCCCGCTGTGCTGCGGCGCGTGTTACTGGTGGCCCAGTGGCCAGTTGAGGGGTCGCATAGTGCAGAGGGTTGTAAAGGGGATTATGTTGGCGACGGCCCATGGTAATGAGCAAAGAATGAGGAGAAGGAGCATAAGAGATCTCATCGAAGGCCTTAGTCTACAGTGAACTCTCCGCCGGTGGTTTATATATACCCATTCCTTGTGAGATTCGCTATGGCTGGGCACCGATCGTTTCTTCGGCCGGCCCATAAGGCCCCGCATTTCCCGCATTCCCTGTCACTATCACCTCGAGACATTCCAGAGTACGAAGTGGCATAACTCCTCGAAGTGTTGTCGCCCATTTTAAGCGCGGATTCCGCCTGCCCGGAGCCGACATCAACCTCTAGCTGGCCCCCACGCCCGTTTGTTTAGCCTCTAGGCGGAGCCGCACCAATAATCGTAAGTAGCGTTCATGAAGAACGGAGATAGCTTTTGTATGTTGCTTTTGTGTACAAACCAAGCACCGGCGTCAAATAATCTCTGCACACGAGGGTCTCTTCAATCTCTTACGATGGACTACCCGTGTCCAGTTCTACACGACAATACGACAACTTTATTGGCATTTCAATTTCTCGGTAGCGTTCATAATACGCTAAGTTAATTCTCATGATTGTCGGATCATGGAGCTGACATGATAGAGAAGTTCCATGTCAGCCGTCACTGGAGCCCGAATAGTGGGAATCACCGCACTCGTGACCTTACTCAGGAGGGCTTCTCGTCATCTATTCTTGAAGTCCGCGTAAGGCTTTGGGGTTAAGAGTGTCTGAAAAAGCCCTCAGGGATGATATAGAGCTTTGCCGGGCATATGTGTACTCGGCAAAACCGCATGTTTGCCGCAAATCACGAAAGTAGGGCATTTTGTTGTTGCCTCCTCTTTCTGCTAGTAAAGCCTACTGACTGACAGATAGCAAGATGAATCCCGGCGCAGATGGAAAGATTACACTGCAGTCGACTCCATCATACAGTAGCGCAACTTTTTGCCGACTTCTGTGAGCACTTTTGTGGCCTTTCATGATCTATGATCAACATTGTGTATTACTGCAACATTGGACGCGGAAAGATCGGGGAGGGTATAAACTCTTTGAGTTATCGTTGTATCAACGCAAAATATCTCCTATTAATGTTGGATTTCAAATGTTTAGACTCAACCAAGAACGGAATCTTGAAATATGTTCATCTATATGGGAATACATGGAGGTATGATCGCAGGCCGAGACGTCGCGTTAGTACGTTCCTGTTCAACAACAATACCCTAGATTCTCTAAAAGCCTAAGAAAGATAACTCCAATTGATTCACGTTTTTCACTCTTCAGGCAAGTGGACTCTTCAATCAGGTGGAAATAAAGCAAAACACGATAGAATAGGTGTATCACGGGATTATGGATGTGTTGTAACGTGCCAAGGGATGTGGGCGGAAGCCGCTGTCCTAGTAGACAAGGCTCCGCGGGAGAGGGTACGTATAACCCACAATGTGTGCTTCGAAACGATGCGAGACCTGTAAAAAGCAAATAATTTCAAATATCTGGGAAGTCTTCAGCTTTGGACCTCGGAGCTGCCTCAGACTGGTAATCTTCTGTGAATGCACGGTGGTCCCGGGATCCGCGCACCCGCGGATCCGCGGATTCGTAAGGACGAACGCCGAACGGTTCATTTTACGCCACGGTCAACACGTTCATCGCAAGCTGCGTCCTTTGCTAGCCAAATGAATATCACAGCACAGCTGGGTATTATGTCCAGTAATTATTGATACAAGAGGAAACCGTGCTACATTTTTCTAAGGGTCGCTACTTGTGGATGTCCATTCCAAATTTTTCGACATACTTGATGTTGCAAACGAAGACCTCCTCGGCACGACTTAACCGGTGTCTGTTTGCTCCTCCGTGCGCCCTTCATCTTTGATTATCTCGGTGATTTTGCTCTGGCTTATGATTTAGTACTGAAATGACATCCGCTTTTTCGGCACCGACAGTCGGTGTGGAAGAAACTCTGTACTCAGATCGTGGGGCCTTCAAGCCAACCAACCGTGTTGTTCTCAGCCATGGAGGAGAATCTCTCGACTTTTCTTTCACTGAGACCACTCGTGATTCCAAACGAGCTGCTGATCCAGCTTCATGGAGGTTGATATCCATGAACAAGCGGAGAGCTCGGAAACTCCAAACGCAAAATCATTCATACGATCCCTGCCGCTCAGCGAAAAGACCCTGCGGACTACCGATCAACTCTGTACTTTCAGACAACCGCCCATCACCGCCGTGTTCCAGGTGCAGCTTGCGAGATAGTGACTGCATGGCTACACGGCGTGTAGGCAAGAACAAATATTCCCAAGAGGAAAATGGACATAGCATTGTACCCGGTACCAGAATCAAACTGCCTGAGGATGAAATATATCCCCTCAATCTTTGCCTGGCAACCTCTGAAGCGCATATGTTTTGTCATGCGATGGCTTGCGAGGTACGCTCTCAGAGACTAGGTCTATATTTTGACCTTATCGACATTCCAGTGGCAAAGATCCTTTCAAAAAATGGCCTACTACCCAACCCTTCTTTGGGAATTGCTGCCTTGTCAATTTTGGAGCGAGATACTGAACTTGCTGCAATGTTTACCAAGATCCAAGCAAGCATAAAGAACAGCTGGGAACTAGTGCCTACCGTACAGCCGGCAGTCTACACCATGCCACAACTGTTTTTTGCTGCCACTGTTCTTGATATGCTATTCCGTCGCACAAAGCCTCATTCAGACCATATGAGTTTAACATCGCGTGATATGACATTGAATGAGACATATAAATGGGTCGCCATTGCGGCCGCTTCGCAATTCTTTGTTCGCCAAAATGCAACAAAAATTGCTGAAAGATGTCGGGAACAAGAAAGAGACATGGCATTCGCTACATGGTCGAAGGCGAAACACATGGTGTTCACGAATATTTCTGTGACTTCGTCTTTCCGTCTAAGTTTGTCATTGCTTCTCTTCGGAACAATCTTACCTCCCACTCAGACTGATCGGAGTGATTCGTTCGAAAAGGACGCTTCCTACGCATTCCGAGAAGGGATTTGCCGACTACAAACACTATGCATTCAATACCGAGCCTACCATAGAAGATGGACAGCCCCGTCGGGAAGTGACACGCCTGTGGTGGACCTGCGCCAGGCAGGAGTAGTACCGCGCTTATTTCGAGTCCTATCTAGAGAAGCACACAAAGGTGTACTGGAGCTGACTTCAGCCCTTGAATGGCTTGCGGAGATGTTGCAGTCCGTAGCGACTGCGCTTTCCCCACAAAAAGTGTCTGCCATGCCGTCGTCTGTCATTACTTTTGCAGACCCAAATTCTCTTCCGGGAGATCTGGTAGTCCACAAGGACCATGTGAAGAGGGTGGGGAACCAGACAAGTTTCCAAGCCATGGACGACCCCATTTTCGTTGAAGTTAGGCTAAATGCCCAGCCGGTGATGAAACCATGGACACGAGATTTTTCGGTTCATCTCGATACTGCCTTGTCTGACTCGGGGAATCTCGCCGTTTCAATGTGGAAATCACTCGCAGGGCTGCGTCTAGCAGTCCGCAAGCTTTGGGTCGGCAGTGCTGTTGAAGCTGAGGTTTATTATTATCTCAATAAGACAATTAATATCATAGAGCTTTGGAGGAAGGCTTTCGGCAACATCGACCACCGCACACTAATGAGACTGCAGCCAACAACGACCGATCTACATCGCCGTGCAATACTTTGCGCTACGAATGGTAATTTGGCTATCCTGAGATTTCATGAGCTTTCCCGTCAGCTCCAAAAATGGTTGACTGGCCGATCATTACCGCCCTTAAATTTTGTCCGCCAAAAACTGGAATTAACCAATGACTACCGGAGTTCGGAGGCACTGCAAAGTGCAAAACAAATGTCTTATTTCGCTTCGAAGAATTCAAGCGTCCCAAGCCCAGGCTTTCAAGGGAGAGCTGGACTAAAAGCGGGTATCCACGATGTTAGGGCACATCCAGTTAGTTTAACGACCCTTTCTTTATGGTACTTTCACTAAACATAATCTCCAGTATTCGACTATGGTTCTGCAAGCTTACAAACTAGCCGTCGAAGTATTTTCAGAAGAAATTCGAAAATCGAGCCATGTAGATAATCTGAGTCGGATATCAGAGCTGTCTATTGGGCTTGAAAGCTGTTTACAAGAACTAGAAGGTCTCAAAAGTACTCTGATCATGTGCCCAGATACAGAATGGAGTCAAGAAGCCAGAAACCTCTCGTGAGCTCAGCATTCACAGCTACTACAACACAGTATTTTCAAAGAAGTTCCAATATGAACTAAATGTCTAATGAAAAATCTGCTTTTCTTCTTTTGTAAATCGAATTTTATGTCGCTGGGCCTAAATATAATTTATGCAAGACACCAAAGGGCGTCTTAGAACTTAATATACGTTAATGCATACTAGTCTATACCGATTCAGCTCGCTTTCACGGAAGTCACAGTGTGTACTGGTCAGGCCGATTTTGGAAGCCCATGTAGGTGGTTGAGATGCGGAAGAGGGGCTTCACCTTGCATTGTAGGCGAATTCGGTTAGTGGGCAAGATGAGTTTGATGGTGGGGTGAGAGGCAGGCTGGGGACGATTCTGAAAGGTCTCTGATTCTCACCAGCGTCTGGTGGATGAGAATCCATCCTCAGTTCCTTTAAGATTTGAAAACTTCAAAATTCAACGACATATGCAGGGAGTAGAGGGCGATGAAAAGAGAGGGCGATGAAAAGAGAGGGCGATGAAAAGAGAGGCGGTGAAAAGAGAGGCGGTGAAAATTTGTAGTAAGTCAGGATCAAGACTTCCTCACACGAACCTCCAAGATAGCTTTACAGAGGGTGGTGTTGATATTGACTCCGGACCGCGACTGTATCTAGCGGAAGCTAACCGGGGTGACACGTGCAACGCTTACAGATCCTCTCAGAAACCGACGAAGATCGGCAGCGACTCTACATTGGAAACTAGGGCTGACGGCACCTCGCACGAGAAGGCAGACTCGCCATGGAGATGACCATGACAGTGCTGCCAATCCTGGGAATAACAGCGGGCGTGTTACGACTAAAGAAATCTGACAACCCGACAGATACAATGGAGCCGCTCATTCCCCAGCGGCATCTCCTCCTACAAGCATTACTAACGTCCTTCCTGCGCAGTCACCTCCGTTTTCTGTGTCTAATACGCCGGCTCTTATGTCGACCATGCGTCCTGGAACGCACATCAGTGATTGCCTTGAATACCTAGTTTCCGGGGCCATGCCGTTGCTTGGTAGTAATTATAAATTGATGATAAAAAGCTGATAGTAGAGTTTCGCAAAGCCCGTGATGCTGCGCCTGGAGATGGCGAGATCTTATGTAAATTCACGAGGATTAAGGTCCGGAGTTTTTATTAAAACGGCTTAAAAGGGGCATTGCTCGGCGATTTGATAGGGATATTAGGTTTTGGGTAAAATATTGTAAGTGCAGCGTAGAAGACGAAGTAACTGTGTTACTATACTGTAGAAAGATATAAGGAATTGGTCCGTATAGTACGTGCTGGAATATTGGTAGATAGAAAATGTTCCCTAAATTGGTAAGTAGCTTAATCCCGCTTACTTTTCAGACTCCTACTTTCTTTCTAGCGACATGAAATGCTGATGATGGTCTACGGAATGAGCTAGTTTTAAAATATTTAAAATCATGCACTTCTAGAGCCGTCTTAGGGATCCTTTGGTTTGTGGAATAGAAAACTGCGTATAGTATGCTAAGGGCTATATTAGCTACTTTTATTAATAGTAGAAATAAATTTTGGCTAGCGAGCCTAGTAAATGTCTTTATCTAAGACGGTTAACTAGTGTATTATAGAATAACCTTATAAGATTAAGCTAAAGATGGAGGAGTGTTCGCGGACTTGCTTACTTTGACGTAGACTGCGGCAACATCCTCAATATCTATGGATATCCGCATATCCTCTCCGCAAACTGTGGATATGGTATGTCACCGAACATCCTCAATCCTCAAATTTATGGATATGGTATAGCACCCGATATCCTCTGGATATTTAAGGATATCCAGTGGATATCAAAGATGCCAAACATGCCCAGCCTCGTGACCTTTTTGAGTATGCATTACTTATACGGACTCCTTTGTATTTTTCAAGTAATCATAGTGTAATAATTAATTATCGAAGGTTTTAATTTCGTAGACATAATGTTATTATCTTCACACTATATGGTCTATCTTAAATTAATCTGAAATCCGTTAGGTAACCTTAGTTGCTTCCGAATCCGCCCCGACCGTCCTTATATACCCTTATGTATTGGTATTTCTAGAAGGCTATTATCATCGTCATTAAATGCCTTAGATAATCGTCTCTTTAATCGTTTACACTATAGTTACTTACTTCTATTAGCCCTCCCACTATCTGAATTCTCATCGTAGCTTTCTATTAGTTATGTATCCTTAATACTAAGCTCTTAATCTTCCTCTTCGTTGTTACTAATTAGCTTAAGAGTTTTAAGCTAGGGCATTGGTTTCCGAGCTTGATCTAATAATGCGGCTTCCCCGGTAGAAAGATGCTCCTTAATAATCTCTATCTCCTTCTGCTTAACCTCAAAGTTAGTAGCGAACTAATAAAGTATTAGTTCTCGGATCGTACTTAGTTTTAATTAATCACGACGATAGTGGTAGATATCACGAGCGTAATTAAATAATCGCTTAACGCCTACGCTACTAGCTAGGATCGAGAGAATATCCCGTGCTATCCTTGTAAGAATAGGGAACTTATACTTATACTCTTTCTAGAATGCTCGGGGCTTCTGTCTCTTAATTCCCCGGGTAAGATATCTCGTAATCTCGTCGTCTTTAGACTTTAAGAGCTCTTCCTGTAGCTGATTTTGAGAAGCATAAGTAGCATCGAGATCATAATTATCGTTATCTAGGGCCTCTCTAGTGGTATCTTATAAGACTATAGTATCTAAATCACGGCGAAGTATCTCTTTATATTAATGAAACTCTCGCTTAAGGACTCTATAATAGTGTTTTATGTAGTTAATTTCACCTTACTAGTCTATTAATATAAAATATCGAAGTTTCTTTAATAGGTAAAGAATCGTTACTAGTATATAAATATCGCCGTATAATTTATGATTAGTAGTAGTATAATACTTTAAGAGCTTCCTTTTTGTAGTCTAAAGAGCCTAGAGCATACGCTTCTTCTAGATAACTCCTTTATTCTTTAACTTACTCTTAGCTTTATTAAGATAAGAGAAAAGCTTATTATAAATACTATAGATATTATATATAGTAATATCTCTAGTCTTTAATAATATATTAGTGAAGTTAAAGAAAGGCTTTATAAAAAGAAGAAGATATTTAATCTACCGCTACTCTTCGTAATTAAGTTTGAAGTAGAGATATTAATAATCTATATAATACTAATCGTAGAATAGCTATAGCCTTTTAGCCCGATTAAGTATTATAAAGCTTAAGTTCTATCGCGTTTAGACATCCTAAATAGGGATTAAAGGAGACTCCTTAGTTTATAGAGCCATAAATACCTCCTAGCGTTATAGGCTTATATTAATAAAGACTACTAGACCTCGGATCTTAAACTTTCTAATTAGAATTAACTTAAAAGTATCTAGAATAATAGGAACTTACCTTCTTTAATATATCCGTAATTTATTTAGATAAGCTAGATCGTTTAGTCTAAAACGAGTAGGTTCGTTCATTAGACTACTCTAGCTTAATCTCTTTATTATATAGTATTACTTTTAGCTTCCTAAGAAGCTTATTTAAGCTTAATTAGATTATATACGTAATATATAGGACTCGGAAGATTAAGGTATCCGATCGACTTTATAACTAGATAGTCTCTTAGATATTTAGTATTAAGGAGTTATTATTAGTTATATTATCTATAGTTATAGATAATACGCGGTCGGTAATCCTATAATTAGCTAGAAGCTAAATCATAGTTTTACTTAGATTCTTACTAGTATATAATCCGTAAAGATACTTAAATCTAAGAAGAACTTTATAGTAATTCTAATCCTAGTCGAGGAAGTAACCTATAATAGCTATAAATACTTACTAGAATAGTGATATCTAGTAATCGAGCGCTATTAAAAGGCGACTCCTATCTAGAAGCCTTCTAAGAACCTCCTTCTAGTTACTCTTAACTATAGAGTTAAGATAACGCCGTATACTTCGCGTAGAGGGGATATTAACCTTACTTAGGGCTTACTGAATAACCTCTACTAGGCTCTTAAATTAGGTATTGTCAGCCTATATAGGTATGTGGGGGTATATACTTATGTGTGTGTGCTTATGTGTTGCCTAAGGGCCCGGTAGCCTACCGGGCCGGACTATTATTTTTCCCCTATAGAAAGCCCCTCTATATATATCTCTTTAACAGAGATATCGACTATGGCCTAATTGGCTATTTGACTAAGGATCCCGACGTCCTTTCTACACATTTCTATCCTACATTAAGATCTATCAGATTATTAGATCTCTGCCCTATTTCCTTACTACCTAAACCACTACAAATCGTGTATTTAAACGCTCGTTTACACCACTGTTTAGCCAGCAGTTCAATCGACTTTATTGTTCTTAAGATATTCTTTCCTTTCCTAGATAGTAGGATCCTATAACTAAGAGGAAGCTACTGCCTAGTCCCCTTTCGTCCTATATGGATTAGCCCCCGATACACTAGGATCTGTTAGTTATAAGCCCGACCGTCTTAAACTAGACTAAAGACCTTAACCCCCCGACCGACGGCCTTAACTTTAACTAATCAGATCGCACGATTTGCGGAATTCTGTTAGTTTAGCCCTTCTTACCGGTCGTATACCTTTAACCTTTAATCTTATACCTTCTATCTTATTTACTTAACTAATTTGTTCTATTCTATCTTTTCAATTGCTTCCTACCTACCATTTACCACTATATTAGAAACTAACTAGCTAGTCTTCTAGCTGAGGACCTCAGCCGATTAGATTCAGTAGTATATAGTAGTCAAAGACTAAGTAATTACGTAGGGACTATAGGTCTATATAAACCCCGAAGTGGTAGTCGAATACCTTAGGTAGCCACCTAAAGAACCAGAGTACCCTACTGCTAGTTTACTAGGAGATCTTCCTAATTTAGTAGGTAACGCTCTTATACTTTTATAAACTAGCAGACGGCAAAATGGCTGCCCGAAATGGCCGCAAGTGAGGCCGTTTTAAGCCGTCAATCTGCCAAACTTCCCGCCACGCACCACGACATCCGCCCACGCCCACCCATCGACCCCCCATTTGGCCCCCCGGGGCTAGGGCCTACATCCTCCTCCCAAAGGCGGAAGGCCCAAGTGTCTACGGAGGCTGCCGCCCCTACGCCCTCGTCTCCACTCACACCCGCCCCGTCCGCAGCCTGCGGCCTCAGGGAGCGGCACGACATGGTCAAGCCGGATTCCCACATCTACTGCCAGCGAGAATTTTCATTCCGGCCAAGAGCTGTGGTTTCCGAGAAGGGATTATTTAAATGAACGTTGATTTCCTGGCTTCCGTTATTACTCACGCTGGCTACCAACCACTTTCACCAACCACTCTTGCCTTCCACTCGCACCTCAATAGTTCTCTCCATTCCACCGCAACATGGCCCGTTCTCAACGACAGGCAAGGTCAGAGTCGTATGAAAACGATTCACAGATTGGGGAAGATAGCTCCGACGACAGCAATGATGAGCAGTATGACGCCGATCTGACAGAGCCTGATTTCGATGAGGATCAGCTCAAAGATCCTGGTGATGTTGCGCAACTTTTTGCAGACAATGAACACTCCCCCGACTATTATCTACAGCAACTCTCAGAGTTTGATGAGTCAGTGTATACACGGGAAGATTATAGCAAAGGCACCACTGCCCTTCTTGACCAGGTCGAGGCTCGTTGGAAACAGTACGTCCCATATCCGTAGAGCTGTTTTCTTCTTTTATCAGTATCTAAGCCTTGTCAGATTTTGTACATGTCTCCGCAAGGATCCTGAACAAGAATTTCAGAAGTTATCTATTGCCATCCTGCATACATTTCTTGACTGGGCCTTGAATTTGCGACGTGGCAAAAATGGAAGACGGCTGCCTGGAATCAAACGAAAAAGCTCACTGGAGACGTTCTGGAAGGTTTTTCGGTTGGTCTTCGAAAGAGCAACCTCAGAAAAGATCGGAAGCCAGATGAATCGTCAAATGCGCCGGGTAAGAAAAGAAATTGACCCTCAGCCTCCAGGGCTTCTCCTGCTCTGTTATGTACAGTTCTGATTGATGTCAAAGGTGATCCGCAAGTTAGCTCGGAAACATAAATTGTCTTGGAAAGGCCGCGAAAAGTCCACTATGTTTGTGGAAGACCTGACCATGGTCGTGGAAACGGCCATCAGCACTACGAAGAAAAAGTTTGGACATGGTCGGCATCGTATTGAGCTTTGCCTTTTCTTACAATTGGCTGGGCTCACAGCCAACCGCCCTGGGGCAGTGCTGAGCCTGCGGTATCGTCATATCCGAGTCAGTCTACTCCGAGATCCCCAGGGTGGCCCTCACAGAATCTTGATCGAATTCAAATTTGAATACACAAAGGGATTCCTTGGCGCTAAGGACGAGTAAGCCTATTGACTCGGCCGACTTTTCTTACCTCTAGCTGTTATTCGCTGACTGCGAAACAGAAACACATATATCCTGCCGGAGATTATATTTGATCCGTCGCTTGTTCTCAGTCCCCATGTCTTCTTGCTAGGGCTCCTTTTTGCGGATCGTGCCTTCAAGAGAGTTGAAGGAGAGGAGGTCCTGACAAGCACAGGGCAGCTTCCTCGCTTGCAAATCCGGGATGGTTGTAACGAGCTTCCATTGCTGCTTGATCCAACTCTGGACGACGTGCCTGTTTTTCGACAGACCGAGCGAAGCTTGCAAGGAATCGGGATTTCGGCCCATAAATGTTTGCCGTACTCAACTCTTCTTCCCTGGGTTAAGAGTATTGGCACCATTACTGGCTTTCGACAAGTTGCCCGTCCTTATAGCCTTCGATACGGGGCTGGTAAGGCGTTGGATAACAGCGGTAATTGTCTTTCTACATAATTCTTGACGTTTATTTCAAGCACCTGACCATCTATGTTGTAGGAGCTGTGAGTGACTCACTTCGTAACCTGATCATGCACCACGCCGATACGCGCACTTTCTTGAAGTACTACCTCGACCGACGGATTGACAAGAACCTTCCTGCCATTATCCGAGGTCTGAATCCTGATGACGACATTATGCATGCAGCTTGTCGCATGAGCCGAACCATTGACCCCGATCGCCCACAAGAATTAACGACCGCCCAAGCCTCCTCAGTCAATGAATGGCCTGAAATTACTGCCCTCATCCAGCGTCGCGATGCAATTCGCCAACAACTAAACCGTCCACTCTCACAGCACCGGGGAAGTCCGATATATGAAAGCTATCAAAAGCTGAATCAGGAGATCAATAGTGCCAGGGAACGGGCAAGGAACACATTGCTGTTGCAGGTTCAACAGAAATATGATCAAGAGCAGCCTATGTTAGAAGTACAGCGGCAGCTATCCGAGACGAAACTGGCTGAAACGCTGACGACAAAGCTACGACACACGGAGGAGCTACCAGAACCTCAGAAACGGTTGATCAAGTGTCTTTTAACTCTGCCCTCGCCGACATTGGACCAAGAAATGTGTCGACGCACTGAAGCTATTGATGCTGTCGCCGCTTACTGTCAATTTGAAGAGGGTATTACATGCCGTTTGCCACAGAACAAAAGGGTTGAAAGCAATGTGGCCGAAAACAGTTACGTCGATGATCAGAAGCTGAGAAGCGAAACGATTGAGGTCAACGCTGAATCGGCAAGCCCACTTGAAAATGCTATTCGATCTGTCACAAAAGACCATCGGCCCTTGTTTTGCTTTATTTGTGTGGGACAGCAAAACCTAGCTCTCAAGAAGCGTGTGCAACAATTCTCATCGCATGGAGATGTTTCAAAGCATATCAAACGAAAGCATCTACAGAACCTTGCATCAAGCACTGTTATTGCTTGCAACGTTTGCGATCAAAAGTTTCCAGAAGTTATGCATTTTCAACGCCATGCTAATGATTCTCACTCGACTGTGACCGGACCTCTATGGTGTGCAGCATCCAAGTAAGGACTCGCGATGTTAGCTTTGTGCATAGAATTTGTTAGAGATTTGAATTCAAATATCTGGATGACGTGATTATTTTCATAATTTCAAATGTATCGAAGTAGCCGTAGCAGCAGCGGAGGAAGATCTAGCCGGATTCTTATTTGGGATACTAGCACAGTTCGGCGAAATTCTGCAACTTGATTCTCTTTGTTACAAGGGGTTCACACTCAAGCAGCGGATGATGTGCTGCAGCAAGTTTCTTGTTGGACCTTCCTGCTACGGGCCAGAGTGGAGTACCAATCCGTGCCAGGCTTAGTGCCGCAGCCCCTTCCCATCTTAACGCCTCAATGTACTCAGTCCCGCAGCTGACCATGCAAATACTTTCTCCAGTCGTCCAGCATTGCTACAGTAGCACAATAAAATGTAGTGCAAAGTTTTTATCACTATGCTAACAATGTGGTCTTGGTGACCGGATAGTGAGTGAGATTGTGATTAAAATCAGAAGTGAAACACAGACCATAAATGAAGCAAGAGAAAGTAGACATGAATACTCAGCGAGTCTGATGTACCTGGAGACCCGTTAACTCCTAGGAACTCATATGCTGACTCTGGGAGTCTTTCCACCATACCATCCTATTGCTACTCAAGCTAAGAACACACGTCCTTAGAAGTATTTTGGTTTTATTGGGTATGAGGACAAACTGCAGAGTCAGACTAACGAACCAATCACGATACTCCAGTTTATGTATTAGGGGATGAGTCGTAGTATGAAAGCATCGAAATCTGTATAGAACCAGGAAAATTTGTCACTATAGTACGGACTAGAATACGGTATCATTATCAATATCTCCCTCGCACTCACATCCTCTGCAGTTTGAGTTCGAGAATAGCCTTCCCATCAACCTTTTCTTTAAAAACAGCAATAGCATTTCCGGTAAATCCGTCAGAATTGCGATACTCTCATCACTGTTCTGGAAATCTTGAGCATGGCATGAAATTGCGCTGGTTATGGCATCCCGCAGCTAAGTCTCGAGAGGTGGAAGAAGTGACTCGACGAGTTCTTGGGATGTGTTCGGGTGACCTTAGGGGTCTCCTCATCGTTGTGTCAAGTTTTTAGATACACTTTGTAAAACATGGAAGTCAACTTTGCACTGTAACAATAACCGCATGATTTGACAAATGGCATTGTTGACCGTAGGAAAAAGGAGGTGTGTGTCTTCCATCATTTAGGACTTTGTCCCGTAACAGCACCCTGATCCCGTAACATCTGTGCCACTTGTTTCCGATTTGTTAAGGACGCAGCTTGGAGCGCATTTCCATAAAATCCACCTTGAATATTAACATCAGCACCCTGATCTAGCAACATTTGTACGACTTTTTCATGGCCTTTCGATGATGCGGCTTGGAGTGCACTGCCAAATTTTCCGCCTTGAGCGTTGACGTCGACACCTTGTTCTAGCAGCAGCTGGACCGCCTGTTCATGCCCTGACCATGATGCAGCTTGGAGTGCATTGCCATACTCTCCTCCTTGAGCATTAACATCAGAACCTTCGTCTAATAGCAACCGCATCACCTTCCAATGGCCGTTCGACGATGCGGCTTGGAGTGCATTATCAAAATTTCCCCCTTTGGTACTGATCACGGCACCTCGATCCAACAGTAGCTGGACAACCTCTTCATGGCCTCTCCATGAAGCAGCTTGAAGTGCATTACCGTATAGTCCACCTTGTGTGTTGATATCAACACCTTGATCTAGTAGCATTTGGACTACCTCTTTATGGCCTCCCCATGATGCAGCTTGCAATGCATTCCCAAAATGACCATCCTGGGCATTGATGTCAGCTCCTTGGTCTAACAGCACTTGCATCACTTTGTCACGACCGTGCCATGATGCGACGTGAAATGCGTTGCCGAAAAATCCACCTTCAGTGCTCATTACGGCGCCTCGATCAAGCAGCATCTGCACCACCTTTTCGTGGCCTGACCATGATGCAGCTTGGAGGGCATTGTAATAATTACCACCTTGCGCATTAATCTCGGCGCCTCGATCCAGCAGCATCTGGACTATCTTTTCATGTCCTGCCCATGATGCAGCCTGGAGTGCATTGCCATACTCCCCACATTGAGTGTTAACGTCAGGATCTCGGCCGAGCAGACGTTGTACCACTTTCTCATGACCTTTTGATGATGCAGCCTGGAGTGCACTGCCAAATTTTCCACTTTGGGCGTTGACGTCGGCGCCTTGATCCAACAGCATCTGCACCACCTCTTCATGGCCTCCGAGTGATGCGGCCTGGAGTGCATTCCCGTATTCTCCACCTTGCGCGTTGACGTCGACACCTTGATCCAACAGCATCTTCACCACCTCTTCATGGCCTCCGAGTGATGCGGCCTGGAGTGCATTCCCGTATTGTCCGCCCTGCGCGTTAACGTCCGCTCCTTTACTAATAAGAACTTGTGCAGGCGCTATGAGCTTAGCGAAACAAGCATAGTAGAGCCTGGATCCTCGCGGAGGACCAGGTTCAGTGTCCCAGTTCCTGTCAGCCTGATACAAACGAGCCCATCGTTGAAATGTCGCTTCCTTCTCTAGGAACTCAACCGTCACTCGAACTATATCTTCCGAGGCCTGAGCCAACGCAGCATGTCCTGTCCAGATTTCTGCCGCTCGTCTTGCCATCGGAAAATCCCGCTTGATATCTGTGTGGCTACCAGTGATGTCCGTAAGGTAAGTCAAGCACGTCCTCGTGATAGATAAGCTGGCTGTCGTAATCTCGAACTGATCCTCTCTGATAAGGTACTCTTTGACGGAAAAGTGGGCAAGATGTAACTCCTTATCGGCGGTGGGAATGACTGTCACTAGGCCGGGACAGTAGTCTAAAACATCAGTCTCGCAGAACAGTCGACGCTTGATGTCAAACCTCCCCGTCCCGTTTTCGATCTGCGTTGCTATCACTTCTTTAGCCTCGGCCAGCTTGAGAGGTCGCTTAGAGTGGACTAAGAATTGCAGGAGGCGTATTGCGTCGTTTTTTAGCTCCGTCGGTATGCTTGCAATCATACGTCGGTATGTCTCATCTAGATTCATCGGCAAAGATGCAAGAGCCTCCTCTATACCTGCCTCGTGACGACATCGAGCCAGGCTGTCCAATTGACAGAACGCCCACCTGAACCTAAGCAGAGCATCAGCAAACCACTAACGAATCGACAAAGGCATCAATATCTCACATTCCGTCGGCCCCGTCGCCAACCTTCGTCCGGATCCTTTCGAGGAGATCCTCGGACAAGGGCTTCTCTTTAAAATAACGTCGTTGAAAAAGTTGTGCTGTGACCCACGATCGGATATCGGCGTTGACAGCCTGCTTATCAAGCGATAGGCAGTTTTGCTTTCCTATTAAAGGGGGAATGTCGCGCAGAAACTCAGATTCAGGCCGACCGGTATAAAGGAGCTGGACATGGGCCAATTCTGGCCTGGATATCACGTCTTGAATCCACAGGAGAACATCATCCCTGGTTTTCGATTCATCCAATGCGTCTAAAACGATAGAGACCTTCCTTTGGGCTGCAAGCATCTTGAATATAATATCCAAGAGTGCCTTTGTGGTAGGTTGGTCGCTGCCATTCTGGTGTGCTTGAAATAAAGCATTAAGATGATTTGCAGAGCCAACCCCGCTTTGGTAAAGTTGGAAAGCAAGCGAGCGCAGCATGCCATCCAAGGTCTGCTTTGTGGTGTCGCTGAAGTCAAAGAAGAAGCTGAGGATAAGACGGTTATTCCCCTTAGCCAGATGATCAAGCACAGTCGCACTGAGAACCGTCTTTCCACATCCGGCGAGCCCGTGCAGCCATAAATGCCGACGAGATCCAGAATGCCAAGACTGGAAAACCGGGTTTTCCAGAAGCCACGCCCCTGTCCCCTCGTGGCGGAGCGTTCTCGCGTGGTTGGCGTTTGTAGATGGGTCCGGGGGACATAGCCAGTGCATGATCTTATCAGTACGAAGGTCAGACCTAATGGAATCTGTAGCTGCTTTCGTTGCAACTGTCGTCTGTTGCACGCTATTGATCTGTTGTTGAACTACTTGCAGTCAGGACATGTTCCAGGTCCAAAATTGTTCGGTCTCGTGGATCTACTGGTCTAGCCCTAGTCAATTAAACAGATACTAACCCAACTGAAGCACTTTTAGTGCCCTCTTGGTCTCCTGGACTTCAACGGCTGGCACGTACGCCAGAAGCTCCTTAGCATATGCAGCAGCGGTGGCCGAGGCGTACCGTTGCCATCGATCGTTCTTGTGAGAATCGGCGTAATCGCAGATCCCTCGGATCACGAGACAAGGAAAGTGGTTCATCAGGCCGGCCGCTTCCATCTCAAAGCAGATGCACTCCTCGCCGAGGTCAGTAACAATCCGATCGCGCACAGTGGCGTCTTTGACAAGTGTATTTCCAGATGCGATGGTCCCGTAGTGGATAAGGGGTTCGGTAGTGTCTCGAGGATCGCGTTGAACCTCGTTAGCCGTGTCACAGTCCCGACAGTCCGAGCCGGGGATATGTTCGCACGAAGCTTTGAAGAGGCGGTCATTTTCGAAACCCTGGTGGGCATAGCCAGGATTTTGCTTGGATCTCTTGGTCATCTTCGGGTTCTTCTCCAGCATTTCTTGAAGGAAGTAGGGAACCTTGGAGTCTCTCCGCTCATGATCGGCCTGGATGCTTGCAAGCGCATTAAGGAGGACCGTCGGAGGCCGCCCGAGGAAGCCTTTGCGCTCACGCTTGTCACCTGAATTTGCCTTGATCGTGTCGTACTGGCAGACGCCACCCGTGGTCCCACTAGGCTGGCTCACGACAACGTCGCCGAGTCGGATATCGTGGTCCTCGTCCGGTCGAGCGATGCCGCCGCCTATGCCCACCAAAAGACCAACACGGATGGATGGAAGAGAGGCAAGTAGGCTAGAGGCGGTGGTAGCAGCCGAAGTGGTTCCATAGACTCCAGGGGCCAGAGAGGCAATGACGATATTGTGCTCTCCCATACGACCCCACGTATAAATGTTCGGGTCGGTTTGGTGTCTAGTGAATCCGGTTGGAGCTCCATGTTCTTCATCCAGCATGGCTTCTGCAGCGGCCCGCTCAATGGGAAGAGCGGTGATCCAGGCGACCGCATAGGAGTCGGGGCTGTCGAGAGCGTTGTGGGATGCCATGGTATGGAGTAAAGCGCACGGGGCTGTTAGATGGGCAGGTGGAAAGGTAGGGTTGATTGGTTCGCCTCCGTCAAAGAGGACGATGGACTTGAGTTACACGCAGACAGAAGAGGTGGCGTGACTGCGGTATAACTAACTAACTATTGTTTGTCATTATTAGTCAAAGGATACACACAATTTCCTTAGTTGCTAACAGGACGCAGCGCTATCACCTAGTCAGTGCCCTCCAGCCGGATTCAAGCCTATTGTATTCCACTGTGCAATGACGAAGGTAAGCTGAAAAGGACATGTGTGGTACAGATGGACGTTGGGGGCCGTGGCGCTGTGGGCGCTTACAAAGCCTCTACGGTAACTAGCGTCTTTCATACTAAACTTTGGTGGACTGGGACAGTATTCCGATGTCTTTGTCCAGCGCTCGTGGATCTAAACTTGAATTCAAATGACTAGATGACCGGATTAGCTTTCATACAACCGATTTCAAATATACAGAGGTAGTTGTAGCAGCAACAGCAGGATGGGGAAGATCAACCCACATATTCTCATTTCGAATCCTCGACGGTCGGGGCGAAGAGAGAACTGATTTTTTTTTTCAGTGTTGACTTCGACTATCCCGATAACATCATTGTCATTGGCTATGATTTTGGTAAAGTGATTCAAACGTACTGAGTCTTCAGATGACCTGTTGCGGCAAGAAGAGAACTCTATCTTTCTCGTTGCGCTACCCGCTTCGCTGCTGAGGGCCAGGGTGGAGCAAGATGTTATGGCACCAATCCGTATCAGGCTTAGTTCCGCAGCCCATTCCATCTTGATGCCTCAGTACGGCAGCCGCCCACATGTGAATTATTTTTCCCCTCGTCCAGGATAGTTAGCACTTGATGAGTTTAATATAAATCACCACTTGCCACAATGGATGGTTTCATCTCTCCTCTCCCTTCAGAAGCGCTCACTTAAGAAATAAAGCTCCCTATATTTAGTAAGCAATTCTATCCTTCAATTTCTACTTCGGATCCTTCTAACGGCAAACAAAATTATCCCCAGGTTGGTGAAACAGACACAAGGTCTTCTTTCGCCAAAATGGTCCTTACATATCATAGGTACATTTTACAGACCTCATCTCTCACATTGAACTGATCCTTACTGCTGATTTTCACATAGCCTCATGGAGTCTGGTGTTGTTCTGGTCTTCGTTGGCAAGGACCAAAAGCGGTTCTTAATTCATACAGAGTTAGCTAGCTCCTTTCCAGTCCAGATTCTTCAACCTCCTATAGCGGAGGAATTTGACGAGGTAGTCTTTGGCCGTTGCTGCGAGTTTGTGTATACTGGTGATTACTCCGTCCCCCCTCCGATCTACGATGGCATCCGCAATCAATCAGCCACAGAATCTGTGAGACGATGGGATCCTGCCGGACTTTCTTGGAACTTTTTCCACCCAGGAAAGTTCCCTATTATTTGTGCCGACCTACGGGAACGATTGGGTCAGGTGAATCCCAACTACCGAGCCAACGACGATTCAAGCACCGACCCTAAATACAGTTATGCGGATGTATTTCTTTGTCATGCTGAAATTTATAGTTTCGCTTCCAGAACGGGGTGGGCTGCTCTATGCTATCTGTCACTCTACCGCCTTCTTGGGCTGCTAGCAAACTTCACACTTTGCGAGGAACGAACTGGGGATATTGTCACTCTATTGAAATTCACCTTTGAGAATGTTGATTCTGAGGAATTTGAAAGCATAGGAGACATAAAATTTGAAGGTATGGGAGACCTCAAAAAGTTGATGGGAGACTATGCAATGTGGAATTTGGAAATCCTGATGCGGGATATGGATTTTCAACTTGTACTTGACAAAATGCCGTCTTTGGAAAGTGCTTTTTTTAGCTGGATGTGGACATAAAGTAGAAAATAGATCAAATGTCATCTGGGGGCTTTTTAAGGACTAAGCATGTTTGAAGAATAGCAAGTGTCATTGAATCAGGAACAAAAAGAGAGCTTTGAAGCTTGGGACACAATCAGAATCCATGGTTCTTATTTTGGAAGTTGCTCCTGGGAGCCTAGTCCTAACCTGTAGATCCAAGGAATCAAGCTCCCTTCAAGTTACTTATTCTCAGCCCTGTAGTCCCATCATGGTCCTGTAGATAAATAATCTGATTACCCTCTAGGATGTTGTGTTTGTCTATAATAAATTCTAACAATGATTTCATGTGCTTTTGCTGAGTCATGCTTAATGACTTTACTTCTGATTATGAGCCTCGCTCGAATTTATCTTCTCTTTCATTTTCAAGAGACTTGGCCGTACTCCATGGTAGACATGGCTCTGCCCTAGTGTGTCTTTCTTTTGGAGTACTCGTCACCCTCTTCTGGAGTGGAATAGCGCCTATATGGAGTCAGATTATCTTTGGTCTCACACCGCTATTTCCTTCTTTACAGGTGGTGTGTCTTGTCCCTTCGTACGATATATGAAGTCAGCTGACCCATTACAGTATTTGCGGATAAGGTTTCAGCAACATCGACTTTTAACCCCGTCGCGCATATCAATCATCCTCTGTTGCCTTTTCGTTTTATCATCAACACTAGGAATGGTTGCAGTGACGTTAGGCGGCACATTTTACCTAAACAGTGTTCACCTGGGTAGTTTATTTATCCTTGTTGTGGACTATGTGGGCGTGACCTTGTGGTATTGGTGGTTGGCCGGCCAAATGACCGAAGGTCGAGCAAAAGTCCGTCGCGTTTCATACTATTTATCGGCAATGGCATTTTTCTTGCTGATGATTGCCATTATTGGCACTGCTTGGAAAGCATGGATCATCACCCTTGAGGTATGTTAATCTTCCTTCCTATCATCTCGAGGGAATGCTGATAGCAGCAAGAGTGAATTGTGTATTATCATAATTTGGACAACCTTCTTACAAATGGCTACTTGACCATCCGTCAGTATCAGCATCCGAAAGAAATGGGTTTAGCTTCGTGATATCTGGTAGGGGCCATTATCGAGTAGACGAGTTCTTGGCCCTGCTTCTCCGGTTTGTCCACTTCTGGCATCGAAAGAGGAAGGGGTCCAAGGTCTCTCTGGCCTGTCCACATGCACATTGATCCGATAGAGGTGTCCGCTTAGTCCCACCTAAAAAAAGGCTAATCTATATGTAGATGATTATTTTTTCAAGGGACTGAATAGTATCGAAAGATAGTTTTATAATAGGCTGGTTGTGATAAATACCAGGGAATACCATAACGAGGGCCGATTATTGGACGTATCGTTTCCTTTTCATTGCTGTCAGAGCGGGAAAAGAACATGCATGGTCCAAGAAAAGCTTCCACCCTTTATGGAATGAGCATCGACACGACGGTTCTCTGGTTTTCGTGACTCGGATGTCGATAGTTTTGCGAAGATCTGCTGGTGCTAACTGGATATTTGACACCCAATTTTGCTCGATGAGGTCAACATCGTGAAAAGCGATAGATTGCATCCCATTAATGTTGGTTCGAAGAAAGGTCTCCACAGAATCACGAGTAACACTAGTTGAACATAATTCGAGGTGGTGTAATTTCAACTTCAAATGGGATATTATTCCCAAGGCTGAGTGGCTCCCAAGAAGCCGTAATCTCGAGGCGTTCTCTAGCAGCTCAGCGAGAAGAGTCGTCAACAGGCGTGTATCTCGTATGTGCCAAGGGTCTTCGTAAATAAAAGATAGTCCGACTAGCTGGACAGTGTGAATGGACACACTGCGGTCCTTGACTGATTTCATGGCGGTAGACACCAGCTGGACATGGTGTTCATAAGACTTTTCCTCCATAGTCATATCCAGAGCGAGATAAGTTTTCACCCAGTCCACATCCATCAAGGCTTCGCAAAATTCCAATCTCAACTCACTCAATTTAGGAAGCCGTTGAAAAGCGAGTGATAGCAAAGCCAAGTCTCTCCCCGTTTTTATTATGCGTTGCTGTTCTGAACAGATTCTTCGTAATGTTCTGTAGACGAGCGTATATGAAGGATGATCCCTCCCGGTAAGTTGCAAATCATCCCAATCATCAAGGTCCTCGGCATCATCATTATCAAAGCCCTCCATTTCATCCCAACATTCGCATTCCTCAACATAAGCGCTAGGTGTCAGGATTTGAGTTTTGAATGTCACATAGTCCCGTATCTCTGGCTCTAGATCAGTAATCGTTAATAGAATCCTGCCACTAAGACATACCTAGCTTTAGCAACTGCGGGACGACGTATCGAAAGGAGACCACATATGAACACAGATGCGATTGCAACAGTTCCTCTAATCCATCAAATCCGTTTTCCGAAAATTCAAAACTAACTTTCCGGAACAATGATGGCAAACAAATGCCCCTCATCCATTTATTAACACATGAGAGGCCTTTTAATTCCCAGCCATGTAAATAGTCCACAATTTCGTGGAGAATTTCGGGGGGTAGAATCTCGAGTTGAATTGACGGATGGTTTGGTGGCATTTTTCAAGGATCTGTGGCGGAAAGGGGCAAATGCACGGATCCGCCAGAAATCAAAAGGTTGGGGTAATTCTCACTTGTGTAATCCAAAACAACGATGTGCCTCTTGCGAAAGCTGCTTTCCGAGACAGGCTGAAGGACAAGCTGTCCTATATGTACCCTTGGGTGTTGGGTGCCGGGGGGGGGGGTCCTATGGTACAATATCCAGCCCAACTTGACTAATGGGAGGCCACTGCGGTAGCTTCCGCAGCATAGATCCACTTACTTTGATGATAAAAATAACACCCAATGATCTCATACCTCATCAGGCGGCGAGACTGAATCAGAAAGCCCGACACCACGATTAAGTGCGCGGTTTAGCATCACAACGGGGTGCTAGCTGTGCGAACCACCTTCTCTAGTAAAAAACCCCTTTATCCTTTTCCAAAAGGTTAACTTCGAGTAAATAATAGTATCCATATGGCGTCATTGGTTATGATTTTAGGCAATATGTTTCGAATGTACCGGAGCTCCAGAAGATGTGCTGCGGCAAGGAGAGAGCTGTCCCTATATTTCTTGTTGACCTACTTTGCTGCTGGGGCGAGTGGTACAAAATGCTAAGGCACCAATCCGTGTCAGGCTTAATGCCATAGCCCCTTCCCATCATAACACCTCAGTGTACTCAGTGTACTCAGTACCGCAGCTGCCTATGCGAATACTTTTTCCAGTCATACAGCATCGTTAGCACCATAAAACGTAGCGCAAAGGGTTTTATCACTATGCTAATAATTTGGTCTTGACGTCCGGGTGGTGAATGAAGTTGTGATTAAAATCAGAAACGAAACACAGGCCATAAAGGAAGCAAAAGAAAGCAGACATGAATACTCAGCGAGTTCAAAAAAGAATTAGCTACTGTCATCCATAAAACGTCCTTCCGGAGGTCTGGGAGTCTCTCTTGGCTCTAGCACGCGATTTGCGTTCCCTTAGTTGCTTGAACCTCCGGAGTGCCTCTCTAAAAAACTGGTACCATTTGACGGCGATTGGGGTTTAGCAACAGAGTTCTGCCTTTTTCGACTGGATTGTTTGGTAGTGGGGCTCGCTTTGCCTTGAAATTCTTCCCTTAGCTCTTGATCAGCAGCGATATATAATCTCTGCGAGCTCGTGAGCGGAACGACAGAAGTCAAAATAAAGGCGTCACTTTCCAAGCAATACAATCCAGGGAAAATGACAAGAAAGTGATCTTTTTGGTGTTCAGCCCCGACTGGATCTTCACCGCCCACAGGAAACTGGAATAGGGAGTCTTCCTCGTGGGCCCAATCGGCAGGATCAAATTCTGTCTCATATCTTTTCGTGGAATTCTGGATAGGACGCCAGACCTCAATTGCCCTATCAACAACATTCTTTATCCGCTCTCTGAGCTCACCATACTGGGTAGTCGAGACAATTTCATAGAGATAGTGGGAAACAACCTGAACAATAGAATTAGCCCTAGACCGAAGTTCAGCTTCCTGCCCATCGCGGTCAATAGAACGTAGAACGGAGCGATAAAAATGCTCCTTTTCGGTGTCGTTCTTCACGAGCTTATTTAGGTTCATCCTGAGATAGCCGGTCTCGGATGGAAAGTAAATCGGTTGAAAAATTTGCTTGTCGATTTGCCGGGAGAGAATGCCCAACATCACGGCTAGACGCATTCCCTTAGCGGCATCGGAATTCGAAGCACACAGGGGAATACGCTGTCTCTGGATAGCTCCATCTCGAAACGCAGCCTCAGTATCTTGTCTGAACTTGTTCCAGGGCCCGTCGTTCTTCCGGAAAAAGTTAGTTTCGGTTTCGGTTTAGCAGTTGAGGTCATAGAATATATGCAGAAAAACCTACTCTGAGATTCTCTTCATTCAGATCCTGCTGCAAAATGGTCCAGATTTCGCTCACCGCATAGCCCCAGACGCTCGAAAAGCCATCTATTCTGAGCCCTAATATCAATGACCTGTAGTGTTTGGTTTGGGGGAATTACTAACATTGACTGCTCGTCAATTTGGTGATGTTTAAGGATAAAGGAACCAAACTTCTCAAGTTGACTGTGAGCCTTGAGCATCTTTTCTTCTAGCGATTTTTTGTCTTTTTCGAGATAGCCCCTTTTTGCGTTTTCATCGGATAGTAGGCGAGTAAGCTTGGCATTACTTTCCTTCAATTTGTCGATTGATGCATCTCTTTCTTTGAGCTTTGTCTGGAAGGAATCAATTTCCAGATTGTGTTGTGCAATCATTGCGCTTATCTTTCTTTCATCCTGAGATCTTTCCGATAACAGCGTTTGTAGCTGGCGCTGAAGTTCTTGGATTCTTCGAGAGATCTCAGCCAAAGATTTATCTTTTTCTGTGTTTTCTTTCTGGAGGGAGACTACTCCTTTTTCTGCGATCTCCTTTTGGATGGCTAGGTCCTGATTCGCTGCGGAGAATCTGCCGATCACAACCGATTCCCTCTCTTTCTGAGCTTCAATGTCCTTCTGCAATCTGGTCAACTTTTCATCTCGAGTACGAATTTGCTCCTGTTGCTCTTTGACCTGACTATAAGTTGCCGATGCGTTCTTGAAGTCGAGATCCAAAGTGAGTTGGCGACAGTGCTCAATTATTTTGTTCATCAAGGCATCTTCAAGTTCCGCCTTCTTAGTGACAGGCCCTCGTTGCTGGACTGACTCAGTTGTTGTTGTTGAAGACATAATGAATATAACGAATAACGACCCAGGCACTGGATTTAGAAAGTGGAATTAAGTGGGTGGTGACAGCACTTATTTATAATTCTTCCTACGCTGGAAGCACTTATGGCTACACATAGATCTTTGATGTCGTAGTCGAACGGTGGATTCACCTTTGTGCGCACAGAAATGAGCCTCAGGATTGTAGAAGCTTGGGCCTGTCCAAGGTGTGCTGAGTTGTCTTGCATATGCATGACACAGGGTGACGAGCAACGTGTTCTGGAGCGAAAGGCTACCCTCTCCAACTCAAAGGTATAATACAGGGGTTGAATGCCGCTGCGAGTCATGGAGCTTTCGATGCGCCCAATCCGAACCTCATTGTTCGGGAATGTATCGCAGCAGAAACGCCTCGCCAGGGCGATCGGTATTCACCAAACAAGGCGAGGAAGACCTGAGCCATTCGCAGGTGAGGCATCCCGGCGTACTTTATGTCAGCGTGACACCTAAGAGACAATATACGAGGTATTTCTCCATCGCTTATGGCGGGTATACTTAGTAAGTCACTGGGTTCATGGCTAATAAATCACCTGTTGAATGAGGCCGAGAATGAAGCGTACGAAAGCTCTGTGTGTTCCGCCCCGCCCCAGCACGGTCGCTTAACGTGAAGAAAAGGGAATGGCAGCAGCTGAATCAAATAAATGAACACGGAATTGCTAAGGTGAAGTTGCAACCCTCTCATGCTGAATATAAAATTTGGTATGGGCTTTGTCCTGTGTATAGTAAGAAGAACAAAAATGGAGGGTTTGCTCGTGACGAATATCACTGTGTATTCGTTGGGCCATACCGGATTACCGAAGTTAACTCAAGTCAATTTATTCCGATCTGATTGAGATACAATTACAAAGGAGGAACATAGGACGTTCTGCTGGGATCAGTCAGCAATACCAGAGAAGAGTAGGCCCTGAAGAAATCAAAGTCGCAAACATGATGTATAGTATCGCCCGTAAGGGTATGTAGTGTTTTGGGGGTGGGCTAGCGCCTGCCGTAAGATGCTTTGGTAGTTACTCAACGAGCGCTGAATTAATAATCGCACTTTCCAATGGGATATTTGTGTGGGCTGCCTCCTGCCTACGGCGGTGTAATTAATAAAGGTATTTCGATTCCGAGAGTGGTTGACCGCGAAGGGGCCAAGAATATTGTCACTTTACGTTCCCGGCAGTCTTCCATTCGGGGTATGCTCTGCATGCATCAAATCTTTTGATTTATCCGGAAGTATCTAAGCAGAGGACCAACTCAGTAAAGTGAGAAGAGAAGGGGCTGGGCTAGATCACTCCTATGGGTGATGCAAATTGTTGGGGGGTGAAGACGGATAACCGATTCTGTCATACTATCACTGTCCTATATTCTCGCGTACCGATATGAATTGGACCACCTTAGATCTCCTGTACTTCCGGTTACAAACGTGAAGGCTTCGGTGGTATCAAACGACCTATGGATATGTAATGTCAAAAGTTACATCCGTGGAATGTGCCTCTAGCCTTCCCTCTGGTGCATGGATACTACATTCCGGTCTTCAACGTGCCACTATCTCACTGAACTACAAACAGCGAGGACGGTTTCAGGAGTTTCCAAAATTCGTGGTGAAGTTGCAATTATGCTTGACTGGCAGGATATGCTAAAGACGGTTCTGAATAACCGACGCTTCTTAATAGTAGCGTATACGTTTGCGTAAATGCCTGATCCAACCCTTAGAGTGCCCGTGGTATAAAGCTGGGGTATATTCCGGGTATCTGAAGGCATTCATCAAGCTGCAGAATGTTGCAAAGCGATCCTGACGAGAGGTTGATATATCTGGCCTGCCAGCATATCTTTCGTGGCCCTAACTCTCAGGTGAGAAAACTCAAGACAGTCAAAGGCTTAATTCGGCAAAATGAACTTTCCCTCACCGATGTTCTACGTGAATACAATATCGACCGCACTAGCAACGTTGCTAAAAAGCTCCTCGAGAGTCAGGTCTTCGATTCGACCTTGAAGGCTAAGATTCGATTTCCGGAATTATTCGATGTGTCGCCTACCCAGAGTGCAGAGAGGGAAGCTTCAGAAGCAGAAGCTGCAAAAGAGGAGGCTAATACTGTGAGGGAGATTTCTGCCAGTGAAGCTTCAAAAGACATGGAAATCGCTTCAGACGCCGAAGTTGAAAGCGAACGGACTGTCGGCGATGACCTGTTTGTTCCCGCAAGTTGTCCAGATCAAAATACAGACACACCTATAGCCATTCGATCGCTATATCCGGTTTATATTCACTACCGATGTCAGCATCAAATCCTGACGACTATACAAGAATTGCTTGAAGAAAGTTGCTTCGAGTTTGGCCAGCGACATTTTCCCCATCTCTTAACATCGAAGGGATGGGACTGTCCCGAGGCGGTTGAACTTACCGAATGGACCAAAATACTATCTCGCCATTCCACCCCATGGTCCAACGACCTGAAACGTCCCGTTAACGAGTTTGTTGTCCTACTACGAGAACTCCGACATTCTGCTGTGCACCGACTTCGAAAAACCGCAACTGGTGTTGAACGACTTGCTGAGAACGCGCAGCTGTTTCTCGAAGCTTTGGAAGACTCGAATCGATCGGAGAAGGTCGAGAGTGTTCGGAGGGAGCTGCGAACCGCGATTGAAGAGCTTAAGCGCAACAAAGATCTCCTTGAGAGAAGACTGGTAGCGCAACTCAAGGAGATAGAAAGGAAGCGGAGTGAATTGGACGTTTGGGAAAAGAACGCGAGGGAAGGTATGATTAGAGAAGACTTGCAATGTTCAAGGGACATGGGTGAACTTCTGGAAGGCGTTGTTCGGCAAGTCAAGTCAAAGGGCCCAGAGGTGACCGAGTGTGAGAAAATCGTTCCGGAAATGTATTCAGAATCGTTGGATTCGGAAGAGGAATTTCTAGATGCCGTTTTAATGACACCGGAGTTTTAAGGATGAATACAGAGAGTTCTGTAAGCAGCGTTTACCTTATTTGCCACAGAAAGACACAGTAATGTTAATCCAGTAAGACTCCATGATAGGCCCCAGCCTCTTTGCTTACCTCTAACAATTCAAAAAGAAGAAAGACATACTTCAAGGAAAATTGGCTTTGCGCAACTCAAGGAGATACAACTCCTCTTCTACAAGCACAGGCTAGAGGAGGATTTTTCTTCCAGTCTCGAGCTCTTTCACCTGTTTCTGCAACTGGCGACGCTTCCTTCGCACAGCTGCTTCCTCGCCAGCGATTTGGTCCAGTTGTTCGTGTGAGAGGTTGTAAACCCACGAAGGAGAGAACAATTTCATGGGTGCCGCAGGCCCAGTGACCAAGTAGTAATCTGCCGCTTGCATACACATATTGTCAACAAACCGTTTTCGGGCGACTTTGTAGTATGATTTCAAGATATCGTGGATATCTTGTATGGTCTGTTGTAAATTACTCATGTGGTGAGTTCGAGTGAGATCAGAAACTCGCACACATTCTCCCTTCGAACAGTCATCGTAGTTGACGGTGAACGATAACTCCTTAACTTCAGACGAGATCCGTTCCTGGCGACTGAAACGAAAATTAGCCACTTAAAGTAAAGCTAACCGTAGGGGTAGATTCCGACCATTTTTGCAAATTGCTATTCAAGTAGTGATTCAAAGTCATCGGCGTTCCATCCCTTTCGATTCGAAGTAGGAAATCTGTCATCGAAAGGGCTTGTCGATATTTCTCGATCAGGTCGTCCATCAAAAATGAGAGGATATTTTGACCTAGCCTCTGATCCCCACAGGATATGTTCAAGGCCTTAGTTGTGAAAATGTGAACTATAGATACAATATCACAAATGTAGCCCTCGGCTAGAGATGGCCATTTCGTGGATTGTTTCTTCAGCACGCTTGAAAGTATGGCCGAATTGAACGTTCCTATTTCAAACCCACGAGATTCCCGGTAAAGATTTTCAATCCAATGGAGAATGCCGTGTGCCACGGAATCTTGGATTTGGACACAGTCATAAAGAATGTCCTGGATATCGCTGCAAACACTCAGCTTCCTGCTAGGAACAAACTTCCGCTCCTGTTCTTCTACTTCCCTATTGTCATCCACGTCGCCGAATATGCCGCCCACGGAGCTTGACGGGGAAGTTTTTGGGGCGGTTGATTTGACCTCTGAGTCGTCATCGTGCTCATGCGACTTAAAGCTGTAGGCATGGCCGTAAGTCGAAAAGTCGTCAGAGAACTGAGCATTGCGATTAGCGACCAAAGTAGCCAACCGTAAATCAGGCTCTTCGTCGAAGGCATCTTGTGATCCATAATTTGTATGAAGAGCATTCTCAGTGAAACGCTGAAATCTTGACACAATTTCGAGCAGAAACTTGCTTTGCTGTTCGGGGGTCCCACGCTCCTCTCCGAGGCTTTCAAGTGCCCGTTTACATTCCTTCAGGCGTTTCGACACCTCGGAACGGACCTACCACCCACTCACAGGTCAGAATTATACGACAGTTCTCGCAAAGAAACACTCACTGATGGAAATTCCCGCCGCACATTCGAAGCCAAAAGCGCTTGCAATCGAACTCTCAGGGCTTCAATACCGTAGTTATCGCTTGAAAGACGATTCCAAGGAGGTGAACTGCGAAACACCTCTTCCTCAATATCACGATTTTTGGATGGGTCTTGAAGGTCCTTCTGACCAAGGTTTCTAACAACCACCCAGCCTAGTTCTTGAGACTCTTGCTTCCCTTCCACGAGTTCAATGATCTTATCCTCTGCTCCTTTGTCGACCAGGTCTGGTTTTGTCAGGATCCGCAAGGTTCTTATTCCATCCGGGTCTAATTCTCTAGATATTTCAATGATCTCCTGGGTAGCGATGTCGACATTCGCTGGTACAACGACAAGCATAATTGACCGCGGATTTCGCATGTAGTTGAGTACCATGTCCCTCACGAGGGTGATGTCTGATTTTGAAGTCAAACCAGGTGTCGTAGTTTTGAAAATTCCCGGAACATCAATCACACTGAGATGATTTTCGTGAGGACCATGAATTTCCAACCGAAGAACATCCGAGGAAAATGTGGGCAGATTATCTTCCATAGCCGTGGATAGGCCCATCGCTAGGTGAACCTTGGACAGTTTAGCCTTTGTATTTATTGCTAGATCCAAAAGAACAGAAGAATAGACCAACCTCAGTCATCATGTTTTCGAACTCTGTCTCATTCAGTGTCTCAATGTCGGATATAGTCCAACTAGCATTCTCCTTTCCATCTTCGCGAGTTGTTGAGATGATGGACCCGGTAAGTTTCCGCATTTTCAAGCTAGGATCTCTCCGAAATATGATCTGCGTCGCAAACCGAGTACACAAGCCAGCGTTCCGAGGAAATTTCAATTTTGTGAGGCCTTCCAAGACGGAGCTTTTTCCGCTGGATTGGTCACCAACAACGACCAGTTGCGGTAAGTCAATGTATTCTCCCACATTGCAAGCGAATAATTTATCGATTTTTTCAAGCAGAGAGGGGTCAGCCAGCATGGTGCTGGCCAAAACTCGAGCTTCCTCCTTGACTGTCATGCTTTGTTGTGGAATACTCCTAGACGATAACAAAGCGTATTATATAGCAAAGATATCAATTATCTCTGCCTATATCCCCTGGAAAATGGGTTCTCTTCATTGGAATTTGGAGAGTAACGTTGCACCGCCCTTGCATAGCTGTACTTGGTGTAAATAAGTGCTTTAGGAGAAAAACACGGACGAAGCAACGATAATGTAGGACTCGGAATGTTCGAAGGATATTTCCGAAGACCTGCAAATTTTTATCCAACGAGTCAAATTGAGGTATCTAAAGGAAGCGGAGGGTGAGGAATCTTTACCAGAGCGCTTGTCAGCCCACTTCTCTTGGCTGACTTTCCACTCTAGCACAAGTCCTTCTACTCCGCCATTAACAAAATATTTACCGTCCAGGATGCTCCAAAATTCACGCCTCGGAATTTGAAGGCGTTTCTTGTTGGAAATTGGAGGTGGTCAAGGAGTTCCACTCGGGAAAATCGGCAATTTTTCGAAGCAGACCACTGTGTAATTCTAAGGAAAGTATTGTCAGAAGTGCAGCGAAAATGAATGAGCAAAAGTGTTTACATGCATGCATCATGTCTTGCCCACCACCCCTGGTTCATTCCCGGATACATGGCAAGACGTAGGTCACACGGTGGCATCATTCGATCATAACCTGGAAGTCAGCATTTTGTACCACGTACAGAATTTGGGGCATGCTCGATTTTCAAACGAGCCACGAGGTTTTCGGAAATCCCAGCACCATTCATAGGAAACTCAGTACTGTGATATGTACGCATCAGTCTGAAGGTCTTGCAGAAAATGTGCTGATTGATATTTTCAAGGGGAACCGACCTCTTAGCATTCAACCTGTTGGCAGATCGAAGGGATTAAATCAGCTAAAATGACATGGTTATAAAGGCCCATAGCTACTTACAAGAAATTATGGCAATGTGGCTAATGTGACCGTAAAACAACGCTGTCAAACGTGGTATGGGAAGGCTACATATTTCAAAGGTGGAGTGGGTGGAGAAAGAAAGAGCAACCCTTAAGTAGTCTATGGGGGAAGAGGTTTCCCTGCGGCCCGCCCCTAGCGCAGACTTCAGCCACAATTAGTGTCCATAATCCGTAGAGAGTCTTGTAACGCATGGACGAACGAATAGGAGGCCACTGCGGCAATGACTCACATCACTCTCGATGGTGGACCCACTCCAGCAGGCAGACAAGTAAGCTAATGGAGGTATCTTCTCCTAGGAACGGGATAGGCAACCACTGACGAATAGGGCAGCACTGCGGTCTGCAGCGACCCACTTCTTCAGTAGGCATTGAAGGGGAGTTGACCAATGAAATCACTTATCACGTGAGCTTGCAAGTGAATCACTCAAAGAAGTGCTTCAATATGGGTTAAATACCACTTGGGTACAGTATTATTGCTTTATTTTAAATACCTCCGTAAGATCTACGGTAATTTACGTTCATAAATCATAAATAAAAAATAGTAGCCATATCATGCTCTCGCTCGAGATTATCGAAATCAGCGATATGGAAAGTAAAGGAAATAAAGGTTGGCTGTACCTATACCGCAATTGATGAAATCCCCAGGATGAGTCTTTCACACAGAGTCTGTACTGAGCGAAGCCTTGTTAGGAGACTTTGGCTTGTATGATCAACGAACTCATTTGAATCAGCCACAGCACAAGCATGGCCATTTCCAGAGAAAACATTATCAAACCTTAAGCTCCCAATACTTGCTTCGGCCGTCGAGATGCGATCTAGAAATTTGTTAGAATGGAAGCGAAGAATATAGAGCGGCAAAATCCAGCGAAGACACCTACCAAGCGTCAATTTCAGTGTGGAGTATTTATATGTTTCATAAGCAAGCCTTTTGACCTCATTTATTTCAGGCATTGTTTCTTGTATGTCAGTCTCCACGTTGGAAAACCGCCACACTTGTTGTTCTTGATGATTTCTTAGTATCCGTAATCACATTGACATCTGTACGCAAGGTGTAATAATTGGTCTACTCACCGTGAGGAAATGTAGAATGGAAATATCCCAAGATATTTTCCATTGCCATACCTCTGTCTTTAGTTGAAGACCAACATCCAATAAGTGACGCAAAGTAGATAGCAAGGGGAGATTTCCAACTTGGGTCTAGATTTCGTACGATCTCTTTCAGGGCCTCTAAACGGTGGCTCATCTCTGCTGGCGATAAAATTCCGGGATCGGTAGTTCTCCAAATAGCTTCACGAAGACGAGCGACTTCTCTGACCCATACCGGCTTGCCTTTGTTGAATGGAAGATCATGAAACTCACAGAAATTGGGCTGTAGCCGGAGCAATCGTTTATCCTTGAAAATAGACTGGGCGGAGATTATCTCACATTTGCCCTCGATCTTCAAGGCTCCTTGTGACAGGTATTCTCCAAAATAATTTTCGGGTTGGTTGCGAAGGTAACGTAAATTTTCCAGATTCTTTCCTGCTGGGTGATTGCCGGATTCCCAGAAAGCATTAATTAGGTCTAAGTCACGAAGAAATATGCCTTTAGGGAACAGATCGGTATCTATCAGAAATAACTTTATCTGATCTAAACTCGACCCATCGTCGGGGCTCAGATGTCGGTAGTAGATGTACTGGATTGCGAAGAGCAACGAACTTGTCCATGAGACAAAATTGTCCCTGATGCCACGCTTTGGCCACCAGCGAAGATGTAAGTTGAGTGTTCGAGCTACGGTCGTCCGCATCTCATCATTCAAGTTGAAGAAAATGTCATCCGTATAGGGATTCTGGCCCTGAGTGGCCGATTCCGAACGAACCCACGTCTCATTTGTCGTTCCGGCAGATTTGGGGGAGGCGACCCGAAACAAGTAGCGGGGAATCCGATCAAAAGCTGACGGCGTCAATCTACTATCTGCTTGAGGCCTGAAGAGCAAATGCTCTGAATTTTCAGGTACATCCCTCAAGTGAGTATTTCTCAGTGTGTCAGCCAGGCTATTCATTTGAGGATGGCGGGGTAGTGGTTATTCGGATATAGTGAATAAGGTTCGTAGATATGGGTTACACAATCCAGCTCTGAGAAGAAAGGAAAGGGAAGGGAAGAAAAAGATAAAAAAGGTGCCGAGCGGGGTTAACGACAGATCATCTGATTTCTTTAGACCCCAAGTATCAGGTCGTCTTGTCTAAGCAACCACCGACGAATAGAAAGCCACTGCGGTCTGCAGTGCATCACATCACTGCTGCAGCTAGCTTCTTGTTCAGCAGCAATTGGGCAGAAACAGGTGAGCAAAACGGAATCTGCTTGTCTCATAACCACGCTAGCACTTGGATGACTGTTATAAGACGGGCGAAGTACAAAGAGGGGTTTCATATGACGTAGACTCTCTCATGGGGCATGTCCTCTTCGGTTGGGGTTCCCAGAACTAATTTCCTCTCAAGAGGATTCTCTCAGGAGGTCTCGCCTCCCAGAATAAAGGTTTTATTATCGGGTTTCCAAGAACTGTAGCCTCCCAGGAAAATCCGCCCAAAACAATATTTATATCCGTATATTCCTATGGCCATGCCTACGAGAGGCGCTACACATTTCAAAGATAGACACAGGACATACAGCTCATCTCATCAAACCTTCTAAGATCTTTCTCCCGGGGCTGCATCGCTCATATCCCGTACGGCCTCTTGTACCGGACTTCATAGTACCCATATGTGCTTAAAAGGTTCCTCATGGTTCCCTTGGATTCACAGAACGAGCCGGCCTTTCCTCTTCCGTCCTCTCCAGCGCTCGGGAAGCCATTGCTAGAAGTTGCCTCTCCTTGGTGAGTCGGCCTTTAGCGACAAGCTCCCGCTCTTCGGAGTCAGAAATCACGAATATGGAATTCTCGCCATCGGCGGTGGCCGCACGGAAACATTGCGCCGGCCTGAGACTTTGCAGATTTACATCGTACAGTGAATAGCCTTTCCATATATACTTTCGCGCAACTCGCTCGAGTGGTGATGGGTCCGAGGGGTCTACGAGGAGACGATCTGACTTCCTCCACTGTCCTCGCTCAAATGCCCAGAACTGAATCTCAACAAGCCCTTGCTGTGCTTGAGGTGAGACCGTTGCTCCGATTTGATCCGGGTTCTGCACCGTGGATTCTGGCTGCCCATCATGGAGGGAGACTGGCAATTGATCGTGATTGACTTTGGGTGCAAAAGATTGGTGTTCGAGATCCGGGTGGCCCTGTAGCGCCGACTCGTTGCTGGCGGCTAGTGGCGGTGAATTTCGTCTCTCCTCAAGCGGAGGCGAATCCACTGGGGGAACTTGCACCTGGTTGGACAGACCGAGCTCTTCATTAAGCCGCTCAAGCTCCAACTCCTCTTCCAATCGCTCCTGCTCTTCCTGGGCCCATCTTAAATGAGCAAGGTATGTATCCAACGCTTGCTGCCCGGAAGGGCCATTGCCATTTGACAAATGGTCGGCCTCGGGTTCTGGAGACGCTGACCGGGCCGCATGATTAATCCTCGCCTGCTCATCGAGAGCATCTTGTCGATCTGGCACCACGGCCAATGCTTCTTCGTCTAGACCTTGCTCGGTTTCATTTGCTTCCAAGGAGATCCTCGTACAATCACTAATAGCATCTCCATCTCCAGGGTCTGGAGGGCTATTGGAATCGTACGTATGAGCTGTTACTGAAGTGATCGGTGCTGGTCCAATCATTGATTCCCCGAGGGAAAGTTGGTCTGACATATGATGATCACAAGTTTCCGTGTCCACAGAATCCCACTCCATGGCGTCTTGTACCCTCTCTGTCGCCTGGCGCGATGTAAGCCCGCGTACATGAATTTTCCGCCTTCGCCGACGCCTCAAATGATCCCGCGCTTTTTCGCTGCTCGGCTGCTGCTGGTGTTCTATGCTTTGTCTTGCCTCTCGCGTTCGGGCCACATCACTTTGTGGCTCATCTCGACTATCTGCAGTGGGCGCGTTTGGTGGGACTGCATGCATAGTTTGCTCATGGCTGTCAGCCCGTTCTTCCTCTTCAACAAACAGCGGCGACGTCGGCACGTCCCGCATAGGTTGATCTCCATTTGGGATTTGTCCGTGCTGTGGAGGCTTCCCAAAAAATGCAAAATAAACGCAGCGGCGGACGAAGAAGCTAGTGATGGTTTCGGCAACCTCCACTTCCGCATGTAAATAGTCCAGGAAGAGCAAAGTGTTGTCTTGCTTCTGAGTGCGCGTTTGTGGCACCCCGGAACGGATGCGATGCTTCATGGTATTATCCGCAAGAAGTTCTTGTGACCAGTCGGGCTGGTCAGGAACTGCATGTTCAAAACAACTGACTATTTGACTAACCAGGCGATCGAACTGCTCACGGTCGTATCGGTACCGATCCGGTTTTCGGGCTTGCAAAAGAGCCGATCGCGCAATCTGATGATCTGGAGACTTGTTAATCAGCCCATCGATCTCCGGAGACTTGAAACCCAGGCGTCGAGCAAGTTCGGCCATCTCGTAGACGGCTCTCGGATCAGGCTTCGCCCGAGCTGATTTTGCTAAAAGATCGTCCTCGTTTTTTGGGTCTGGGGGCATCAGAGTATAGTGTCGCATAGCGTATAGCCATACCTGTACGTATCCTGTCTCGAGGCGTTCCATATCTGTTGCTCGCTGACGCCGAAAAGTAGACTCTGAAGTCTGAATGATACAATCTCCGGCATTTGGATGATATTCTTCAGAATCTGAATGTGCAACAAACATCGAACTCATAGTTTCCCAGATTGACGTTGATGGGCCAATAAGTCGCTTGACACAATGAGCACAGCTCTCCAGATATTTGAAATCTTCGAAGAGGGTGTACAAAGACGGAATGAGCCCGTCAAAATCCTTCATCTGATTCCATATGTTGCGCCTTTCGTCGTCGTCAAATTTCCCAAATGCGTGACCTCCCAGAACGAGTCCACATGCTGTCTTGGCGTCAGCTCGTGATTTCCCAGGCGCGAGCAATTGCAGGGTTTCGACGGTATCTTGATCAATTTTCTTCATCAAAGGACCACTCGAGGCAACCAAAGAAGACCAGAAGTCCCGAATGTGATCCAAATAGGTTATTATCTCCTATGGAATGGCGGACATGTTAGCGTTGCGAAAAGAACATGGATGCTGAACTCACTCGGACACAGCCTGAAGCTATCAACCGATGGAGTAAACTGATCCTCATTCCGCTTGGCCAAAGCCCGGGAATTGCTAGTAACCGGTCAAAGGCCCGCCTCAGACGGCGGTTTCTTTTGTTGTCCAGTTGATCTAGACGCCCTTGATTGTTGGGTGATAGCCTCACGAACCACCGCTCTCGAAAAGCCTCGTTATCCTCGCCTTCGTACTGTCTGATCTTGCGATAAATTTCTCCGTCGGATGGCTTTTTCTGATTCGCGTATTCTTCCACCAAAGAGGCCCTCAGTTCCTCACCGATGTCTTCATTGATGGTCAGCACGGAAATGCAAGAACGGAAGTGGACATACCGTCTAAGTAGAGGTCGACGGTCCACCAGCGATCAGCTGGAGGAAGCACCTCGGCCCCGGCCTGCACACGGTGACGGCCGTGTAAGCCCTGAAGCTGCCCTGCCACAAATACGAGATGGGGAATTTGATGGGCATTATTCGTCAGCAGTGACTGCTGCGGAACGTTTGCCTTCCGCAATGCTTCCGTGAGGTCGCGTGGAGACAAAATCGCAGGGACATGATTGTCGACATCCAGGCGGCGACATCTGTTCTTAAGAAAAATGCCACGGAGTCGCTCCAAGTTCTTCAAATCCAAGTCCTGGGGTAAAGGAGGGTTAAATTGAATCTGGCTGATGTTGACTTTGGCCGTTCCAATGTATTTCAGACGCCGCTCCGTTGCCAGCCGCACCTCTTGATCGGTAAAGAAAGATGGACTCATGGACACTTGATGAAGGTACCGAAAGCAAAAAAGGAGTGAGCAGAAGCTCTTGTCCGTGATATCTATTTATGTGGCTAACTCTGTATTCCACATCCCGCTGCGGGGCTACTGCGCTGTTCTGCTTACGGTCGACCCACCGCAGCAGCCCACGGGCTCCACAGTTCTGCTCTTGGCCAGGCGAAGGCTTTATAACCACAACATGGTCCTATGTACATGCTCAGCTGCTTGTTTTGCGACCTTTAGATAAGACTTAATAGCCTACCATGCGTCCACTCGATGACAAACGCGTGACCAAAATCCTTGACACGGTTCCTATGCTACAGCAATCTCCAGACAAGAAGGATCTAGTAGCACCGGCAAACGAACCTAGGCTCATGCCAGGTCCTCTGCAACCAGGTCCCCGCCCAATCAAAAGGCCCACTACGCCATCTCCCCCAGAGCCTCCTGGTAAGGTCATCCGTGGGTCCCCTAGGAACTTCGCTCTTCAAGGAACTAGCCATCTGGAGAACAGTATCGGCTGGGATGGATCAGTACGAAATGAATCACCCTGGGATACGTTCAAGCCATACTACGAATGTGATCTAGCTGGTAATGTTTCTGTTTGTGTCCGGTCCTCAGGCAATCGAGCTGCACAGGCGATCCGTCGATATCCTAGTGAAGACGCGGACAGAATCCTCGGAGTTCTCCGATCCACATCACATAAAAATGTGGTCTCTATCTGGGAGTGCTTTCGCGAATCTGATTTCCTGTATACTGTGAGCAAATTTGATCCTCTCACCCTAGATCATCTAGTCGCCTGTAAAGCCTTTCCAGGCCAGGTGGAGCTGGCTGCGATCATGTCCCAGGTTTGTTGTCATCTTATTCTTCCGAAAGGTCTAGGTCGCTGATCATGTACAGATTCTTGACGGACTATCGCATTTAGTTGACCAGAACTTTTATCACCCATGTCTGGATTGTTCCAGCATTCTGATGAGCCTTGAGGGTGAGATAAAGATTGGTAAGGTTTGCCCATAAATTCTCCCTGAGGGTTGTCTACTAAAACTAGAACAGCACGGATTGACTGCTGTGTCATCCAACAGACAAGCAGAGTAAATAACACTCATCTGGCGCCTGTATCCAAAGTCATGATGGAATTGATGCAGAAGTATACTAAAGAGGACGGGGCTGTTGGAATTGAGAATCTTGACCGCTGGAAAAAATGCCCAGCCGCCATCGATTTCCTCTCTGCCACCATCTCAGCTAGCTCATTTGAGGAACTGAGAAAAGTATGTGACCCATGGATCTGATCTGGAACTCTGCTCATTGGTTTTAAGCAGCGCTTTTTAACGGAAACCCGATGGTGCCCCGGCGATTTAATCGGCCTCGCATGGTTTGCTCTGATATCCGCGCGTACATTCTACTCATTCACGCCGAGGTCGGAAGGCAAAAACTAGGCAATGCTGTCGTTGCTTACGTACTGTAAAGGGGGAGCGACCAACAACAAGTGCGATCAATCTTAACAGAAAAGGGAAGCAGGTATTGTGTTTGCATAGAATTTGCTTGATAGGTGGCTCTACTGTGTATTGCGTCTCCAAATCTTTCTAACCTCACATTATAATACAAAAATCCAATCTGAAATAAACCAGCAATTCGTATACCGACGACAAAAGATTCTCGTCAGCGCGCTATAGGATTTGAGGTTGATTAATTCCCAAGAACATTGTGAGACCGGGAAGATAGTGGTGTCTCAAACATGGCAGCTTGTATATGTGGAGCCCTCACGAATGTATTAAAGTGTGCTCTTACTGTATTCGACCATTGCTCTGGCTGAGAATATAGGGATTAACCTGTAGCTGAAGGAAGCTGACGGGAAAAGAAGAATCAAATACATGAAAGCTAAGAGTGATATATGAGTATTACAGATACGCGAAGTGTAGATGGGACTGCTGAACGAGATGGAGCTTTCTGACGACTGAAGCATCAAGGGGAAGACGATGGAAGTAGATAGAAGGGAATGAGGTGGCTGTTGAGTTAGTGCTACGTTACCAGAACGTTAGCTGAGGAACTCGGTCAGTTTTTGACTTGCAATCTTCTGGATATCAACTGGCTTCCAGGAGGTTTCAGGCCATTGGAAGGCCAGGGCTCTCTCATCATCCTCGAAGGCGGACACTATTTTCTCCGGTCTGAGAAGACCAAAATCCTTATGGAGGAGAAAACTGCGGAGATCGTACGTGACCCGCCCACGTATAAGACGGTTAACTACTGGCTCCAAATCTCGGAAGACGCGAATAGTACCAGGTCGAGTCTTCTGGACGAATGAGACGAAAACTTGGATCTCAGGATAAGTGAACGTGTAATTACACCTAATGAGAGTCAGTCAAGCCACGCGATGATTGTGCTGGGATACGTACATCACATCATATGGAGAACTGTCGCCTGCCAGCAGGATACCAGCCCCCCAGTTGCTTGCAAGCAACCACCACCATTTCCCTCGTCGGACATAAAACGCAGAAATCTTATCACGTCGTTTCTTTGCAGGCTTGGTAATGCGCGGGTCGTCTGAATATGCATCAACGATGCAATCGAGAACGTGGCTCGCAGGGCGCTTCTTTGGCGGAGTGGGACAATACTTTTCCGGGTATTTGCAAAGCTCCTCGTAGTTAAAATAGAGCAATACGTGTCCAATGCGCTTCACGACAGGGTTCAGATTATGAGATTTCGCGTCTGCATCCAATACACGCAGGTAATCAACGGCTGCCTGTATACCTTTCCATTGCACAGGAAGTCCAAGGGCGTGCAGATCGAGCGAGCCATATCTGTCCCAATGATGAAACAAGGGGCTTAACATGCTATCAAGATCCCAAGCAAGTAGGTGAGCCTCTGCCTCAAGGATCTTCTGAATCCGATCGTTCTCGAGAGTGACGCTGCAAGACTGCAACATAATGAGAGCGGCATAGCTTGAATTGTCGGCGATTTCTGCCGCGGTTGCTTGCTTCTCTATAGCGCTGTGATTCCCGCTTGTGTCGCTTGCTTGACTGTCTATGTTAGCTCCAACCCCAGGGAGGATGTGTTGCTCCCCCGGCTGCGGCGTTTCAACTGAGTTGGTCGAGGGTGTGGGATATCCCGCATCAAGGCCAGGTGTGGAGACAGATGCGGGCGACGCTTGGATAAGAGAGGGCGGACAGGATGAATTCAATTGTATGGGATCCGTAAAATCGTTTACTGCAGAGCGGTCAACGGTTAAAAGGTTGTGAGCAATTAGATCAGGATGCAAGGGTATCTTACCCTGTGATGCTGCAGAGCTCTCATCGATGACGTCTGGTGTCAGAAACCAATTCACAAATCCAGCACACACTAATCCATAGCCGACTTCAGCCATCTGGGGCCTAGTCAGCTTCCGGAACTGCTCCAAGTCGGACCCGAGATCTCGAACGAACTGTAAGGCATGAGTGCGAAATTCAAATATATTATCGAGGAAATTACCATCGGAATCTGGGTTATCTCCATCATACCCGACCTATCTAGATCCAGCTCCTGGGACGGTCGTTCTTAGTTGCCGTGGGCGTCTGGGCTGGAGGGAGCGGAACTCACCTTAAATTCGACAACAACAGAAAATAAAACCTGGTGAAGTTTCTGATACTTGCAGGAAATGACCCTTTCGTAAGGGTAAGTGAGCTCATGACGTTGGATAAAACCCCCCATATGAGCACCGAACAGGACGTCTATCTTCTGCTGATCGTCCATACGTCCGAGCTGCTCCAATTTTTTCCCAATCTTGTTGACGAACTAAAGCGAATAAGTGCCATCCATCAAGGGTGTTAGAGAAACTTCACTCACGTCAGAACAGGCATCTTCATCCCATTCTGTATTGCACTTCGGATAGATATCCTTCAAACAGGATTAGCAGATGCAAATCGGTGTTAGGGACTGACTCACTTCGAAGCCGACCTTTAGAGTGGTCATTTTAGTGAGACCAGCCCACAAGAACACACTAGCAATGATAAACGAGGGAATAAGGGTCAGTGGCTAGCGATGGGAGTGTCGAATTCACTGAACGACAGGGCGCCTTTTGGCAGGCAAAAAACACGCCAAGAGCACTAGACAGGAAGAATCATGTTGGGAATAAAGGAAGAGACGAAATAGCTACCCTTTTATGGGGAAATCGAGAGGGAGCCGGGGGGG